GGTGGGTGGCGACCTTAGGATCAATACCTTCAAGATCCACATGTGACAATGCAAAAATGTCCATGTTGAGCCTCAGAAAGTTTGTTAGCTGGTGGACCAAATCTTTAGAAAGGGAAGAGCCAATGTACACTCTTTTGTCCAGGTACTCCTTATCTAAGACTATTGGGGTGAGCTCCTTGACTGGTTCTCCTCTTTTGCTGGTGGCATCGTCTCTTGGATCAAGGACCTCCACTTGTAGGGCTTCTTGTGGCTTCCTCGTCTTCATGGGGGAGATATAACACTTCTTTGCGGCTACTTGGTCTCCTTGCACCTCTCCGACTCCATTCGAAGTTAGAAAACGAAGGATGATGTGGTAGGTGGAGGGCATAGCTCTTAGGGTATTGAGAGCTGATGGCCCTAGAATGATGTTGTAAGCTAAAGGACAATTTATCACCAGGAAGTTGACCATGATCATGGAGCTTTGAGGTGTCACTCTGGTAGTGACAAGTAGGGTGATGGACCCTAGGGGATACACCTTCTCCCCTGAGAACCCAATGAGGGGCGACCTGATGGGCTGCAATCTTTCTCTGCCCAAGTTGAGCTTGTCATAAGTCTCTAGAGTTTCCGCCGTCCACGAGAATTCTTCGCACTTGGAAGTTGGTGACGGTCATGGTGAGCACTAGAGGGTCGTCATGAGGGTGCTGGATTCTTTCTTAATCTTTGTCTGAGAAGGATATGACCTCGCTATTTTCATACTTGGGTGCCTTGGATGGGCGAAATTCCTAGGGGTGCTTAGCTTTTCTGGCATGAGGGATTCTCCTCCCCCTACAAACCCTCCAGAGATGGTGTGAATTTCTCTGATAGGCTGTTGGTCTTCCTGATTATGGGGTGGTGCTGGCGCTTGTCCCCTATCGACAACAAACTGGCGTAGGTGACCCTGTTGGATGAGCTCCTCAATCTACCTTTTGAGGTCATAGCAATCATCGGTGTCATGATCATGGTCGTGATGGAAGCGATAATACTTGTTTGGGTTCCTTTGGTTTGGGGGAGACTTTATTCTCCCTAGCCATTTTATCGCGGGGTCATCTTGGATCTATAATAGAATGTGCCTGACGGAGGCATTGAGGGGAGTGAAGACTTGTTGATCTTTCTTGGGAGCAGGACCGAGCCGGTCTTTGGTAGGTACTCTCTCCCTCCTGCTATGCTTGTTATTATTCTCCTTCTTATCGTCTCTGTCTTTTTTTTTTTTTTTTTTCTCTCCAGCTCTAGAGGACTTCCTCGTCTGGCCCTTGTAATGTCCTCAACATTCATGTATTTCTGGGCCTTCGCCAGCAACTCTGGCATGCTCTTCGGTGGGCACTTCATTGCAGATAAAAGAAAGTTTGACGACCGGAGGCCCCCTAAGAAGGCGGTCATGCTCATTTTATCATCGGGCTCCTCGACTTGAAGGACCTATTCATTAAAACGAGTAAGGTAGCTCCTCAAGCTCTTATCTCGGTCTTATTTTATGTTGAACAGGTGGGTGGTAGACTTTTGGTGGCGGCGTCCTCTAATAAAGTGTGACACGAAGTACCTGCTTAACTCAGCGAATGTGTCAATGGAGGCTGAGGAAAGTTTGGCGAACCATTGTCGAGCGGATCCCTTCAAGGTGGTTGGGAACGCTCTGCACATGATTTCGTTGGAGACGTTGTGCAGTTGCATTAAGATTTTAAAATTTTCAAGGTGGTCCAGTGGATCATTTCGTACAGTCAAAGGTCTCAACGGACGATATCTTAAATTTTTGGGAGAGTGGGTAGTTCGTCACGTCAGATTTGAAAAGTGTGTCAGTTCGACTTACGAGGTAGTTTACTGTCACGGGGCCTTGCACCTTCATAGTGTTGAAGACACCACCCAGCTGATTTTACACCTCCTTAATTTTTTCGTCCAATTAATTGGGAGGAGGGCCTCTGAAATTACCACGAAAATGGCTCTCATGCTCTATGCTTTGGTTTTCACCCTCATCCTCTTGGAGAGGAGGGTCTTCACCATGGGGAGCCCGAGTAGGGGTCGGAGGATAAGGTCCCTCATGGTGGGCCCCCCTATGTGGTGCTCCCAAGGGAACTCCCAAAGGGGGGCATCCAAGGGGGCACCTGGATGGGGAACGCCAAGGTGAGGAACTCTTTGATGACCAGGGAGTGGAGCTCTCCTGGCTTGAGGTCTAGGCTTCGCTCCTCCTTGTTGTCCGAGCATCAATTGTAGAATCTGCTGGTTTTGGGTTATGAGCTGCTGTATTGTGACCAACATCTGCTGTGCATTTGGGACGGGATTGACGGGTGGAGGAGCAACCTCCTCCTCTCGTAGGTTGTCTTCATGCTGACTCATGGTTCTTGTGGTGATTTGACTTTGATTGAACAAAGAAAATGATTAGGTGAGAATTTTGTAGTTTTTCACAGACGGTGCTAAACTGATGATGCACACCATCTATCAATTAAGCAATATAAAATGCAGTAAAGTAAAGGGAGAAAGGACACATGGTTTATAGTGGTTTGACCAATGAGACCTACGTCCATTTTTAATGGCTAAGTTCGTTGGGAATTTTATTAAGTCCAGTGTGTTGGGAGAGCAAGAATTACAAGAGAGAGAAGAGTTGAGCTTGATTTTTATGAGATGTCCCCCCAAGTGTTGGGAGAGCTTACAATTTATAGACGCCTGAGCAGTGATTGAATAGCTAGATTGCGGTCATAACGGGGCAACTTAATAGTATTAAATAACTTGACGACCTTTTCTTTTCTTGGCAATCTCTCCTCTCCTCAACGGGTAAGGAAGTTATAGTGCTCTCCAAAGAACTTGGTCAAATGATAAGGGAAGGTTGACTCTCTCCAAGCAGCGAGAGTGGATGCTTCCTTAGTGGCATAGCTTCCTGACGGGCTTAATTGGCTTGGACCTCATAGGGCATGCTGAGTCTTCTACAAGCTTGGACTCTTATTTAAGTTGGGCTTTCCATATGAATTGAGCCATTTGGGTCTGGCCTATTAGCTAGTAACTAATATGGTTTCACCTTTCGACTTATTCTTTATTGTCTTTTTTATCAAATCGAACAGTGATTTATTTTATTTTCATATTTCAATTATTTATATTTCTCTATAAAAAGAATTTTGAGAATTGTGGAGTTTTTTTTTTTTTTTTTTTTGGTGTTAGTATAAAAAAGATGTTCTATTTCAGATGGTGTGTCTTTGTATTCATAATCTTAGGTTTTTTTTTGTTATGCTAATTGTGTTGGCTTGACAGAAAGATTGGAACAATTGTCATGCTGACACAAGCAAAAAAAAAAATTATAGGAAATAATTCTATTTTTATCACTTGCATTACTTTTTTCTTATTCCCTCTAGGAGGTAAATTAAAAAAAAAAAGTAACTTCTAGAAGCGACATTGTGGAATTTTATGAAACTTAGCTTCTAATTCCGGGTCAAAAAATTATAGTGATGCTCCATTTTTTCTGGTTGAATATCTATATTATGTTTCTCTTCTATTAGTATCTATTGTGCCATTGTTTAGAATGATATAAGTAAGGCTGTTAAGGATTTTACTGGAGATCTATGAGAATGACAAATTTTGTGCAATTTTTATAGGTTGACGATACTAGGAATGGAGTTAGTTTTATTGATCTATGTGTCTAACCTTGACCATTCCTCATCCATCTCAGAATAAAATTCACCTTATACATAAATTTTTTTCCTTGATTATTATTGTATAGGGTAAATTACACTTACGCTCTCTAACATTTGGCTTTATTACACGAAACTTCCTAGACATTTAAAACTTATAACAACCACACCCCTCTAACTAACGGACATTATAATGATTCACGGACAAAGTTGATGTCATCAATAATAATTTTTTAAAATACCAAAAAATACCCTTCAAAACTAAATTTAAAAATTCAAATATTTGTACTTTTTACCCAAAATTTTATCCCATCTCTCCTTTATCATTTCTTTATTTTATATTTCATATTTAAACTAAAATTTTTTAAATTAAATATTTAATTTCATAATCTATCAAATTAATCAGTTAAATACTAGAATTTTTTGTTTATTATATAACATATTTATGTAAATTATATTTATCAATCCAAATTTGCCCCTAAATGCATTAACACCATTACCCACCGTCCATCGCTGCCTCCACACCACGAAAACCGACACCACCTCTTTTCTCTATCTCTCTCTCTTCACACACATACGTAGAACATCACTATTGCCAATGACAGAGTAACTACCCCCTTAACCCCATCTTCATTTCATTTTCACAACCACACAACACACACCACCACCACCATAATCTAGCAAAATCCCCACCACCTCCTCAACCACACCACACACAACCCAACAACTACCGTTGTCAAAATTGAACCCCCAAAACACCGTTGTCCTTTTGATTTTTCAAATTTTTTAAGCTTTGGATCTTTTCAATTTTTGTCTCTCCTCTCTCTTTCCTTCTCCCTCTCCCAATGTTCTTTGCTTAGGTAGGTTTTGATATTTTGGATGAGGGAGGCTACTGGAGGGTGCTGTAGTGGTGGGAAAAGGCTGACAATATACATATATACATACACACACAGAGATGGCTAAGAGAGAGAGAAGACTGATGATTGGCAACGCTGGTGGGAACGAGAAAAAGAAAGAGTCAGAGAGAATCATTTGGATCGTTGGTGCAGAGGAGGTGAATATTAGGTTTAGTTGGGTTTGAGTTTGTGTTAAACTGAGGGGCAAAATAGTCTTTTATTAAAAGAGTTAACTCTGTCTAACTATTGAAATTTTAATGTAATTATCGAAATATGAGGGAGTGTCCGTGTAATAAAACCAAATGTCTGTGAGTGTGATTTACCCTATTATATATTTTGTCTCGCAAATAGTGAATGGCAAAATAGGAACCAACTATAATAAAGACTGTGTTGTTGGGCTTGCGATGTCATAGCCGAGTGGACCAATAAAAACTAAAACAGCCAATAGGAAGACACTCCCAATCCCAAGCAAGCAATACTTACCGATAATAGTTATGTTTCTTTCAACAAACCACCTAAACCCAACCATACCGTCTCTCTCTCTGTCTCTCTCTCTCTTTTCGGGTCTTGGCAGATTCTCGTCTCAGTCTCTCTCTGAATCGCAAGAATCGAAGCAATTCCTCAACATCCGGTGGGCGACGAGATCTCTGCAGATCTGGGTTTAGGTAAGCCCTTTTGTATCTCAGCGGTTAATTTTTAAATACTTTTGGTTTCTTTGATTTAAAATTTGATTTCTGTGGGATGAATTAATATTGTTCTATCTGTTCCTTATCGACTAAGCAAATTTGGTTCTAATTGCTTTATTTTTTTGTCAATTTGTTGTGGTAATTTTCTTCTTTTTTTTTTTTTCTTTTAACTTGGTGAATTGGGGGGAGAGAGAGAGAGAGAGAGAGAGAGAGAGAGAGAGATCTACATGTCGTTTCACATTTGATGTTCGAAAGGTTGAAGCTTTTACATACAGGTTTTAAGTTGAATTTTAATTCTATAAATATTTGAATTTTGAATTCTACACAATTTGGCACATTGTTTTATACTAGTCTCTCTCTCTCTCTCTATATATATATATATATATACGTATATACACACACACAGAGACAGTTTAGGTTGATTTTTATTGGTTTTTTGGTGTTTTTAGTTGTCTTGTAATGCCTGCCGCTATACGGTTTTCACATACAAAAAGAAATTGTTCGATGTCTGCACGAGCTTGTGAAATTCTCCTCTACCCCCCCCCCCCCCCCATCTCTCCACACACCCCCACATTTGATAAGGGCAAAAGAGACAGGGGGATTGGGTTTTGATTATTATAATAGCTGTGCCGGTTTCTACCCCAAAACAAATGGATTTTGAGTTTACTTAAAAAGAAAACCAAATCTAGACTTGGCATCCAAATAATCCTGAAAGAAAAGTCTTCAGAGAGGGGTTGGGGATTGTGCGTTTGGCTTGTGTGTGTAGTTGGTAGAACTTTTTGATTAAGGGCAAATAATGCCGATAGCTGAAATGTTGAGCATAATCAACAAGAAATTTGTTGGAATACATTGTTTCCAGCAAACAGGTTAAGCCTATATTTGGGATGTTATATTTATGGGTATTTTTTTTAAATGTTTTGGTTGCTTTGAAAATAGATTTTTGTAGCATGGATTTCTCAGGTCCGATATATTCCTTGATGATTTAGGAAGTTCCAATTGCCTGATTTATCTGTCTATTGCTGTGCCAATTTTTTATTTTATTTTTCTCTTTTGATTTGGGAAATTTTATAGAGAGGGTGCCAAGATGATGTTTCAAATTTGAAGTTCAAAACTGTGAGGCAAGAACATGTTTCCCTTTTTTTCATATAACCTTAAAGTTAAATTTTGGGTGTCTATACAATTTGGCTTTTTTTTTTTATATCAATCTCTTCCTCCGTCACATAGTTTATTTGTTCGTATTTTCGTATTGTGTTGTTAGATCTGAATATCCACTATGTTGTGGTTTTAATTAGAAGAGGTAATGTTGAGGTGGAATTTTACTGTTCTTTGGTGTTATTAGTTTTATCTTGAAATACGAGCTGCAATACTGTTTGAGACACCCTCCCTATCCACCCACCCACCCACCCACCACACATCCATCAGACATATTAGGAGAGACTAGAGAGAAAGGGAAGGGGAATGGGTTTTGAGTATTGTATCCATTTTTACTCGAAAACAAATGGATTGAGTCTACTTATCGGGACATCAAAATCTTCGTAGCACCACAACAATCCTAGAAAGTAATGTGTGCTTGTATGCCTCTGAGTTTGTACTGGGTAGGACTGTGTAATTTAGGGCCAAAAAATTCTGATAGCTGCAATCTTAAGCATAATTAATTTTAGGTTTATATATGGACTTCAATTCGGTTGATGCAGTTCTGGTTGAACAGCCTAAAAACAGGAGACCATTTATTGAGCTGGTAATTTTTGGTTCTTTCGCGGCAAATTAGTTTGAATATATTGGTTTCAGCAAATAGCTAAGACTATTACTGGCAGAGGACAAAAAGTTTTGAGTTAAATGATAAGTAAGTGTTAACTTTTTCTTGTTAGTAGGGTACAGAAGTATGAGTGCAAACATTGTTGAATTTGAGTTCAATCTCTTAAATTGCTGTTTAACCTTACTTTATGCTTTTGCCTGAGGAATGAATGTTTGGTGAAACACAGGGAGGCGAGGGTAAGTATGAAAAAGTAATATTATTTTAGTATTCTAGAAACAGAAAGAGGAGATAGATTGAGGACTGTTTACCAGGTAGGGGCAGGAATGATTAGCTCTTAAGCTAATTGAACAGATATTCGCTAAATAGAAGAGAGATAAGATATCATGAAATATCCATGGCATCAAAGGATTGATGGTCCTTTGGTGACTTGCAATATTTAGAACGTCTCCATGTAGGTGTTGTTTCAGTTGCTGTTTCTTAATCCCGGGAAATGTTGCCACTAGTGGTTGGCTTGGCTATACCCATACGTAGTTGTTGTGGTATGGTGTTTGCCCGACACACATTGCTTTATTGATGCCCATTAATGAGTAGTTACAATATCTATTTGGTAGATCTGGTCATTGGTGATGAGATATTGCACTTGATGCTTCTGCTTAGGACAGAGATTGGATCAACTTAATAATTAAACCAATGGATATGGATTCATTATATGCAATAGGTTTTGTGTGTATCAAGCATGGTCTTAAGCTCCTTTTCCAAGTATGGTCAAAATGATGAAAGCATTTCTGTTTTCAATGGGAACAGGAATAGGCTACTGTAACTGTTTTTACAAGGGAAACCAGATAAAGGTACTCAGGATTGCTATTTTTTAAATGCTTAGCAATTGAAAATGTCAGTTGAAAAGCAACCCTGGATTGGTCTTATTTAATGTTGTTTTTGATACATTGCATTTTGTAAAAAAAATTCAGTAAGGCTACAGTCACGGGTATTTATTTGTGTTTGTCTGCATGCGTGAGTGTCTGTCTGCATGCTGTGTCTTTGAGTTCATTTAAGTGTTCATTATCTGATTGATGCCTTGTTGTGGGCAGTTTTCTCCTAGATTAAATGTTTTATGTTGCTGTTGAAGTTAAATTTAGTCAGACTTGTTTGATGGAGAATGGCAATTCTGATGGATAACAGCTCAGATCATTCATTTAGGGAGCGTGTTCAACACCTCTACAATAAGGTATGGCTGTCTTTGCCCCGTTAGAGTGGATATTAAGAACACTAAATGGTGTTCTGCCTTTATATTTTTGTGAATATATTAAATCTCTGTTTCAGTACTCCCAAACCCATACAATAATCTGTCCATTTTCCCCACAACTAGGAGTTATAACCACGTGTGTATGTCTTTCGGGCAAAACAATCATGAGAGAAAGAAGATATCAAAAAGCTCAGAGAAATTTAAGTTGGCTATGTGCTTTTATCCAAGAGTTGGTGTCATTGACACTAGAATCATGTTTTCGTTTAGATTAAGGGTCTTTGACCCCCAGTCTTGACATTTTTCAAAAATTACAGAATGTCGAGTTGGAGAATAGGCGTCGGAAAGCAGCAAAAGCTAGACTACCTTCAGATACCAATGAATGGCAACGGATTCGAGAAAACTATGAAGCTATTCTTCTTGAAGATTATGCTTTCTCTGAACAGCATGATATAGAATATGCTTTGTGGCAGTTGCATTACAGGCGAATTGAGGAGCTACGTGCACATTTCAATGCTGTTCTAGCAGCAGCAGGATCAACAGCACAGAATGCGAAAGGTTCCACTCGACTTGGGCCTGATCGAGTCACAAAAATTCGTTCCCAGTTTAAGACGGTCCTTTCAGAGGCAACTGGATTTTATCATGATTTGATGATGAAAATTAGGGCAAAGTATGGTTTACCACTCGGATATGTTTCAGATAATCCAGACAATCAGATTGCATTGTCTAAAGGTGGAAACAAATCTGCTGAGGTGAAGGAAGGCTTGATATCCTGTCACCGTTGTTTGATTTACCTTGGGGATCTTGCTCGTTACAAAGGCATATATGGGGAAGGTGATTCCAAAACTCGGGATTTTGCAGCAGCATTGAGTTATTATATGCAAGCTTCGTCTCTTTGGCCTTCAAGTGGCAACCCTCATCATCAGGTTTGCTTTCTATTATAGGTGTTTAATAGTCGTTACAAATTCTTCTATAGACTTGCTGTTTCCAGACGTGGTTGTCCAATTGTGATAGCTTTATGTTGTAGACTTTTCCATGTGCATTCTCAGCTTGCGATACTGGCTTCTTATTCGGGGGATGAATTGGTGGCAGTATATCGGTATTTTCGAAGTCTGGCTGTTGATAACCCTTTTGCTACTGCACGGGACAATTTGATCATTGCATTTGAGAAGGTACATGTGATAAAAAAAAACACGTTTTTTTGGTAATCCACTCTCGTTCTTGTGATGTTGAGTAGATATTATCTTTTGTTAGATGCTTGATAAACTATCGATTAGAGATAATGTGCATGTGAACTTGGGATTGTTGACTTATCGATTAGATATAATGTACATAAGAACAAAGTCAGTCGGTTGGCACTTTGGGTGACCCAGGGAAGCCAGTTTTTATAGTGTATTTCTGCTACATGTTTGGATACTTGTTCAGATTCGGACATAGCAACTGTTTGCTCTTTGCGTTAGTCAAACATCAACTCAAGTTTTTATGTGATTTTATGGCTGGATCACTTGACCAACATGGAAAACTCCTAGTATTTAAGTCAAATATAGGCAGTAAATTCGGGGATGATTCCTTAGTTGCATTACCTGACTATGAATACAGTGATTCTTGTACCATGTCTGCATACACACGAAAGCACTTGTATTTTGATTTAGTGTCTAAATTGACCAAGATATGCTTGTATTTGCTATTTTGCGATGAAGGTGGTGAACCTACATCTATGCAGCAGGGGGAATCTAACTGTATCCTCCAGTTTTTTGTCGGAGGGAAAGTTCAAGTGACCTGGTTGAAAATAATTTAAGCTATTTTTCCTGGAAAAATGAACAAAGAAACTTTGAATTTGTGAGTCATCTCAGCCAGATGACATCACGGGGTTATGCGATTCAGCATTAGACATCAATGAGCTTCTTATATTTAACTTACTTTTACACAGCATCTAGATTCAATTAATGCTTGAAAATTAGAATTTATGCTATTCTTACACAGACTCTAGCGAGTAATATGCTGGGTTCGTGTCTATGTTAGAGTGCACTTTTAGTGCACAGGTCTCGGTTGAAATGCTTGCCATCAGTTCAGCTGCATTCAGTTTGACCAAATAGGTGAATATGTTCATAGTGATTGTGCAGTAAGCCAGCAATTGACAACGGTTCATAGGATTCAATGGCATGCAGATTTTTGTTTCCTATAAAGAAGGAAAGGGTAAACCAATAGAGGTGAAAGACGATTTTTGTTGTTATACATTAGAACAAATGAGACACGAAGTGGGTGATTTTAATTGATCCGTGTATGAGATAGAAAAAGGAAATTACTCACAAAGTCTTTTTTGGCAGAATCGTCAGAGTTACTCGCAGCTGTTTGGAGATGCTAAAGCTGCTTCTGTCAAGTTGGCACCTGTGCGGATGACTGAGAAAGGACGAGGGAAAGGTGAAACAAGGCTTCCGTTAAAAGATAATGGAGTAGAAGCCAGTGTTGTCAAGGCAAAAATATCCAGTATACCCGAAACCTTTAAAGTGTTTAGCATTCGCTTTGTCCGACTAAATGGCATTCTGTTCACACGCACAAGGTATATGTCCTAAAAAATTCCCTCTGTTAATCTATAGTTATGACAACTGAATACTGTATTGATGTATTGTATTGCATCTTTTACCAGTTTGGAGACATTTGGGGAAGTATTCTCTTTGGTTAAAAGTGATTTGCTTGAGCTTCTCTCTTCTGGGCCAGAGGAGGAGTACAATTTTGGTTCAGATGCAGCTGAGTGTAGAGTTGTGATTGTTAGGCTTATAGCCGTTCTCATATTCACCTTTCACAATGTGAGTAGGGAAACTGAAAATCAGTCATATGCTGAAATTCTGCAACGGTCAGTTTTGCTTCAGAATGCGATTGCTGCTATTTTGGAGTTTATGGGCCATGTACTTGAGAGATGCATCCAGTTGAATGATCCTTCAGCAAGCTACTTGTTGCCTGGGATTATGGTTTTCGTGGAGTGGTTAGCCTGCCGTCAAGACATTGCTCTTGGTAATGAATTGGAGGAGAAACAAGCTAGTGCTAGATCATTTTTTTGGAACCATTGCATTTCCTTTTTCAACAAACTCTTGTCAAGTGGGCTTGTGGTTAGTGATGAGGATGAAGATGAAACATGTTTTTCCCATATGAGCAGGTATGATGAAGGTGAGACTGCCAATCGGCTTGCATTACCTGAGGACATTGAATTGAGAGGATTTCTTCCTCTTCTCCCTGCACAACTCATCCTTGATTTTTCAAGGAAGCATTCTTTTGGAAGTGATGGTGGCAATAAGGAGACAAAAGCCCGTGTTCAGAGGGTTGTAGCGGCCGCAAAGGCTCTTGCTAATGTGGTCCAGGCTGGTCAACGAGGAATTTATTTTGACACAAAGGCAAAGAGATTTATGTTTGGAATTGAGCCTCGAATTTCTGATGATTATTTACTCACCAGTTCTTTGGAAACTCCCAAATTGAATGGCGTGGGCCTAGAGACTGCAGTTGAGGGTCAAAAGACTCCCGGGGTCTTGCAGCCAGAGGCAGAGACGAATCTAGAAGGTGAAGAAGAGGATGAGGTGATTGTCTTCAAGCCATCTTTGAATGAAAAGCATGTCGATAAGATTGCTTCAAATTTGACTTCTGAATTTTTTGCATCTGGTGTTAGTTCCTCCAAAGTAGATTTGGGAAATGAAGGTGGAACTTTTTCCACCTCACGTGATGGTTTCCTTGTGCAGAATGCTTTCAATACAGGTTCAAGGTCACCTGCATCTGTTGCTAACATTACTGCCCAGTATCTGCAACCAAATCAACCAAGTACTTCGAAGTGGCTACTAGAGCAACAAGGTTTTATTACGAATGGATGGGGCAGTTTAAATCTGTTGGAGAATGGCCTTCCTTTAAAACATGAGTTGGAAAGTCATCTAGGAGTTGTGCAGCCTGCTACTTTTTCTGTTCCCTTTCTTCAGTCTGCCAATGTCAGTGCTGGCTATACCCATTCTATTCCCGTCCCAGAAACTGTTGTGTCATTGAAGGTTGATTCAATGATGTCTTCAGGAGCTGGTGTTGATAACTGGTCCGTGAATGCTTCATCAGTTATGTCAGCAGGTTTACAGAAAAATCCAGTGAGTCGACCTGTCAGGCACTTTGGTCCCCCACCTGGGTTTGGCTCTGTTCCTCCCAAAGTAGTGGATGGAGGATTGTCTGGTATGGCTTTAAAGAATGAAAACCCACCGAAGGATGATTATAGCTGGCTTGATGGATATCAGGTGCGATCATCAACTCAAAGCATTGGATTTAACAGTTCCATTAATCCCTCAGCGCAGACATACCATCCTGTGAGCAAAAGCAATAGCTCAATTGGGATAGTAGGCTTTCCCTTCCCTGGGAAACAAGTGACGGAAAACCAGAGAGACTGTCAGCACTATCAGTTCCCTGAGGATCTGAAATTATATTTGGAGCAGCACCAGCACCAGCAGCAACCACTTCAGAAAGGAAATCAACAGTCTGTTGCACTACCACAGCAGCATCAAGCACAGTCTCTCTTGGAAGACCGTTTCCTTGTGTGAGTTGATCAAGTGAGCATAGATGGTAAGCGATGGCTTTTTCTTGTTCCTTTTTTTTTTAGGGGGTTAAAAAGTTACCATATTAACTGTTTTTAGTTTTTGAGTTGTGCAACTGATCTCCAGTACGTATTTGACTCCTTTTCATCATGGGTAAGGCTATGAGGAATTTACTGTGGCGAAAGTCTGGTGGCATGGTGCGACCCGTTGAATCAATTTGCAGTGTGGCCGATGTTATCAAGTTTTTGTTGGGAGTATGGATGGTCTTGCAGTGCTGCAGGAGCTTGCTGTTGAACAGGTCTTTCTTGCTCTTATCTATCCATCTCTCTGTTCATCTGTGTGTGTGTCTGCGATGAAATTATCAAACCTTTTAGTTGGTTAATCCAGCAGGTAGGTTATTATGAGTGTTTGTTCTGAATTGTTCCCATGGGGAAAATGAAATATTTTTCTGTTGTGATTAGTTCATTAATTTAATGAACCTTCTGAGGATGTGTCTGTCCAAACATGTTTATAGTTGTTCGGTAACTGATCATTAATTTAATTTCTCTATGTGCACATGGGTTGAACCTTCTTGGCTCTCTTTGGTGTTACTTCGATTATTTGTTCCAGAATAGATAATCTGGGGATCATAATTGTGGAGGGAAATTGGTCTTCTTGTTCATTGTAAGTATCAGCTTGGGAGAGCAATAGGTAATAAGTTGATTTTTAGTCTAGAGTTTCATCAATTCATTCAATGACATCCTATTTATTAAGGCAACTAATCGAGTGTAGCATCTGGCTGATAGAAAGGTGTGGGGTCTTTTCTTCCTCACCTTTATGTGGGGGTTATTGAGTTATGCCAACTTGGTTGTGGATTTGCTTTGTTGCTGGCAAAGGGTTGTGGTAGAAGATGCTTGGATTTCGATTTAGCACCCTTATGCCTTCGGTGGTGGAGTATATGGTAAGAGCATTTCAGGAGCCCTTTTGATTGTTACGTGGCTTTGATTTTGAAGTTGATGAGGAGCTTTCAGAATGTGCTTTGTTAGTGATTTCCAGGAAGTATGCGTCCTCTTGTGACGATTTTGTTGTTTTTAGGGAATTTTTCGTGGTGCAATTTTCTGGTTCCCTTGATATATGACATAGTTTTTCTTTATTTTGAAGTCTTTTGGAAGGTTTTTTCTCTGTATACTTCCTAGGTACAAGAATTGTGTCGCCGGTGCGATTTTTGATGTTATCTTGCATTTTGAAAGAATTTATTAATTTTTTGGATATCTACTATTATTGATATTACTACTGAACAAGCTCAGAGTTGACTCGGTCAACACTGAGATGCAATGGTTGGTGTGTTGCGGATGCGTATTGTGAATTGTGCTTTATGCATGAAAAGCCGAATAGAAGAAGTTGAGCATAACTGGTTAGATTACACTGCGGCGTCGCGGGTCCAATTAAATGACAATCACGTGATTGAGTGAAATTCATGTTTTACACTAAATCTGGATGGAAGGTGTTGAGACGGATATCACTTGGTTGGGTCATATCGGTGGCAGACTATACTTTGGGTCATGCCCATAATTGAAAAGCTGTACTACGTGCTATTTAAGGGTTTTTTTTTTTAAATCAATAGCAGATATGACTTCAATTGTGAAGACTGAAGCCCACTGATGAAGGTTGCTGTAAAAACAGCAAATTCAGCATTTTCTCTGTTTAACCATTGAATCTTTCATATCAGTTTACTCGATCAGCATCATTATATAACTACAGTGTGGGACGGGGGTTCAGGGTGGGCTTTAGTACAGATATCTGGCGTCTTTCAATGGGTTGAATATCTTCGTTTCATTCCAATTTTTGATTAAGATAGAATTGATATTTTTCTAGTTTAATAAGATAGAGAAATTGTTATAGATCCAAAGAGTCTGCCTATTTTTCTAGTTTAATAAGATAAAAGAAATTTGTTTTATGGCGGCCTCTGAATCTTGGGAAATGGGATAAAGAGGCTCATTACATAACAGTGTTTCAATGACTACATTTATGGAGGTATTAACTATTCTCTGACTTACCGGAAAAAAAAAAAACTATTGTCTGACTCAATTTTAAGAGTGTTAATACCTGCCGAGACTCATTTAAGGTTGTTGAAACAATCAAAATTGTTGCATTACCGGCTTTTGCTATCCTTTTGAGTGTTATTGAGCTCTAGCACTGTTTTTTTTTTTTTTAATAAATGTAATCAACTTTGGCTAGTCTGGCAATTATATGTGGTGTTAGGAATCAGTAAAAGTTAATAGTTATATTATCCTAGTGAACCCGATGTGTTCATAAAGTGATTTGTTTGTGCTTCCAGCTATTCACTGGGCTGGTCTCTGACATAAGTTAGGTGAGTGAGACAAGCGCTTCATGTTAGGTCAAGAAGGGCAAGGAACTCGAAGTGTACATCCATGTATTGAATGTATGTGAGGAAAACGCAAACTGGTGTCAATTGGGAAGCAGCAGCAAGACTGACTTCGCCTAATTCTCTTCTTTCCTAGCATGATTTGTTTGTGCTTCCAGCTATTCACTGGGCTGGTCTCTGACATAAGTTAGGTGAGTAAGACAAGCGCTTCATGTTAGGTCAAGAAGGGCAAGGAACTCGAAGTGTACATCCATGTATTGAATGTATGTGAGGAAAACGCAAACTGGTGTCAATTGGGAAGCAGCAGCAAGACTGACTTCGCCTAATTCTCTTCTTTCCTAGCATGATTTGTTTGTGCTTCCAGCTATTCACTGGGCTGGTCTCTGACACTTGTACTGTAATGTCAGTGGATTTTTGTTGAATTTAGGATCTCTTGTTTGTTCAATATATACCTATATAACTGAACCAGCAAATGAAAAAAAAAAGCAAAAATCCCTATGTAATCTATGCTGACTTAATTTTCTTGTCATCTACAGAGTTTGTGCCGACACCCGGATGAATGGAACATGGCAGGAAATGAGAATTCTCAGAGGTGAAGGAAGTCCTTTGTCTGTTTGGATGGGTTGGACATGAAGCATATGGAGATATTGGAGTGCGGTGGGCGAGTAAATGTAGCTGGATGAGGTTAATAGAAGTACTAGCAATTCTACTTGACTGATAAATGGTACACATCATATGTGGGGAATGTTAGTGGTGCTTGCCGTACTTGCCGTTGTTCAGCAGTTTCTCAGAGTCAAATGTTTAAGGTTAGATATATTGGCATTGATTTCTCATGTGCTGCCTTGAAAGTTTTATGAGGTGGAGTTTGAAAAAAATGTGTAAAAAGGTTTGGTTATTGGGGGGATGACATGAAATATTTGTTGAATGGAATAAGTATGCGAGTACAGACGCACGCATATGAGTATTTTAGCTTTTTGTGATTGGTATATTAATAGCTATTATGCTGGTGGTATAGTCTACCATTGGTACTTGAAGTAGTCTCTTATATTTGAAATATATATTGTTGCCTTAGTTAATTTTTCCCCTTTGCATGGTATTTTGAATATTTATTTTTACCTTATCATTTCATATGACATGCTTGCTTGTGCTTAGGTTCTATTTGTAAGGATTGCAGATTTGACTGGTGTCTCTCTTCTTGCTCTTCATCTCTCCTTGCTATTTTTATGTTTCGATACGTATCACCTTGATATCCACAACAAATTTTGATACGTACCACCTTGATATCCTACTACTGCTCTCCCATTGTTTATGGTTGTGAATCACATCACCTACAATGAATATGAGTTGATTGGTATTGGATGGAAGTAATCAAGAGAATCTAATCTTAAAAAAGGTCCGACCCTAATTAACAATCCATATGGTCCAGTAAAGATTTGGATGAGTTGATGTCCGTCGATATGTTGAATTCCATCCATGATAATATTGTGTTTTGGATAACCAAATAATTACCTTATCTCTTGGGTGGTATCAAAAAACTAAGAAGTAAAATAATAACTTTGGAAAAGAAAGAAAAAGTAAAAAAGAAAGACACTCTTTGGTCTTGCTGGGAGAAAACCCAAATTTATTTTAAATGTTGTTATTTTTACTTAGTTTGTTGACAAATTGGTAGTCGATCCAATTTCATATTAGGAAGCATTGTTAATCTACCGACAATAGTGTGTGATTAAATCAACAAATTCAGTTTACGCAGCTGAATTTTTCTATCATGAATCTCTCGTTTTGATGCTTCCTTTCCTTGTCTTTTTTATTTGCACACGAGCAGTGCTTATCAAGAATTTTCTAACCAGGGACCCAGCTATAATTAAATCAAATTAGAAGAACAAAGCTTGATTGAGTGTGGTACCAAACTTGTACAATTAGAGCACACACTAATGTTGCTCTTACTTACAGCATTTTCTATACCCTTTATACAAACTGCATATCATTTATATAATGAAAGAATATATAGAGTAGGAAGACCCTTCCAGCATCTCTAATACGGCTCAACCTCCATGAATCATCTCTCAAAATAATTTTCCTTCCGGGTAACACTACCGTCTTTGATATCGTATCAAAATTTACAAGTAAATAAGGGATTAATTACAATATTATTTACTCAAGTTACAATTTAAAAATGTTAGTTATAATTCGTGAGGTTAGGTTACGACTTAAAAAAAATTTGAAATGTTAAAATTGTTTCTAAATACTCTTTTTTTATCGTAACCTCACAAACGTGAGTCGTAAACTCACTGAGAGTAATTTATAGTAAAATACCGAAAAATTACTCGTCTAGTGTTATCCGCATAGTGCAAAGGAATTTCTGTGCATCAAGTATCTTCTGCAAAAACTTTAAATATGAAATCGCGAAATCGTCTTGAGTATTGCCTTGGATCAACGGCTGAGATTGAGTTTGGATCGTATTGGATAGACTTGTAGGCATGCTCAAGCTTCTTGGTTATGTCATAGTCTTGAAGAATGTCTATGACGCCGAAGAACATAACGACGTCGTAGTACTCCCCGGTGGGTTCTCCGACCAGCTGAAATTCACGGTCGTTCTTTCTCTCCGTCCGTTCGACTCTCGCCGGCATGTTCACTCCCAACTTAATACTAGCCCACCTGCCACACTCACAATAGATAAGCAGAGACGGATGTAGAAATTTAGTCAAAATATGAAATGATATAAAGTAGGACCCATTTTTAATTTTTTTTGAAAAAATTCTGGTATGGTCGAGTCAATACACTTTGATGGGTATTTACAGGCAAGGCTAAATTATACTTTGATTCCACTAACTATGAACTCGATTCACATTCTCACACCGTCCGTTAAGGCTGATAATCAAGTCGAGTTTTTTGAGTTTAAGTTGAATTTGTTGAATATGTTTTTTTTAAACGAGTTTAAAAATTTGTTCAAACTTAGTTCTTTTGTTAAACGAGTCAAGCTCGAACCGATATCAAAACGAATCGAACTCGAGTAGTTTGACTATTTTACATATAAATGAGCCGAGCTTTTTTAGACTCATTTTTCTAAACGAGTCTAAAAAATTATTCAAACTCGACTCGTTTATAAAATGAACTAAGCCCAAGTCAACTCGAATAAATTGATTCAATTATTAGCCCTATCATCCAACAATATTTGAATTGATTTTTTACTGTCCCAAAACCAAGTTTTGAAAAAATTGATTTTTTTACACATTTTCAAAAGGTATATATTTATTAGGAGAGGGGGATGTGAAATCAATAACCATAGGTTGATTGAGAGGATCAAAGTGAAGTTTTTCCTATAGTAACATGGGAGTGCATTAAGAAGGATTCAGTGTAGAGATGTTTTACCCTGCTGGGTCTAATAGAAGCTGATCAAGGTCCGCTGTAGACAGACGAGGAAATGATTCAGACTCTGAGCCACCACCAGTATCTGCATGACAATTGCATGTGCAAAAGTAGGCAAGTGATAAGTATTAGTGTAGATTCGGATTGAGGGTTGAATAACTTTGGTTGAACACCATTCTATCAACTTGTTCGACTTGCACTCCTAAGGAACAACTCTTTGGTACGAGTTGATCCAATTCTTACAACGTACTTTAACATAGCTTTACTTTTTGTTGTCTAGTACAAACTAATTCAATTCTTATATTGTACTTCAATATAATATTTATAATATGAACAATGCTACATAAATTTAAAAAAAAACTTGATAATTATAACTATTGATTTCATTGTAAATTCTATCATTTATTAAGACTCGCTATCTATTCAATGATTGTGATTATTGAGTTTAATTTTTAAATTCATGTAAGTATTTTTCTTCCGATACACATTACTATGTAAGAGAAGAATGGATGGGAAAAATACTAACCAATAGGTGTCCGACAACCGGAGGGTGTATGCTCTCCAGGATTTGTTGCTTCCCTGAAGTGAAGACCAACCAAAAGGCTGTAGTCCATTATTCTCTCCTGCTCAAGAAACTCACAGTCCTTATCAATTTGCCTGCAAAATAAAAAAAAAAATAATATTTTTTTGAAATTACTTAATTTTTTTAAATTCAATCGGTAAATATGATTTTATTACTCAAAAAATAAAATATGTAATATAATTCAAAACGTGCCAAAGACTTCCCGAGTTATGCTCTCGAGAAAGATTCCAAACAACTTAGTTTGGACAAAACATATTCCTAGGGTCCAGAGTACATGCTAGCTACCTCTCTTACATTTCCAGAGGCTAGGATGGGTGACATTATTCTCCCTAAAGGGAAACTATTATAGATTCTATGCCTAGGAAGTTTCGAGCATATTACACTTAGACCTCTTGACTTTTGCCCTTTGTTTTTACTTTGTCCCATAAACTATCAGTTTTTTCACATTGCCGCTTAAATCATTGGTTTGAGTTTTACACGGCCCCATACGTAAATGTCTATCCAATTTTCATGATGAACCAGACAAAAATGGAATTTCATTCAGTTGAGGAAGGAAAGACCAAACCTCCTAACAATTGTAAAATTGCATTTTTGCCTAGAAGTAAGTGGTTGGTGCGATGTGAAACTCAAACCAATACCTCTAATTGCAATGCAACAAAGTGAATAATTTAAGAGACAACCTGAAATGAGGGGCATAACTCAGAGTTGTCAGTGTAATTAAGTCTTATTATATCGATTAAGTCTTATTATTTCATGAATAATATGATCATACAATGTCGATAAAATTCAGGAAAAGCCTGAAAACTTGAGAAACTCGTACCACTACGTGGAAATGGAAAAGGCTTTTTTTTTTTTTCCCAAAAAAAAAAAAGGAATAGGAATAGTGTTAGAAAGCAGCATTGAAATACTGAAAGGACTCAAAACCACAATTTACCTTCGAAACTCTTGAAACCATGTTTTTTGCAGTCGGAATAGGAAGTTGAGATCAAGGTCTTTGAGAATTGTGGTTGCTTCAATCTCTGCCTCTGGCTTGTCTGTGATGCGGCCAAGCGAAGACCCTTTCAAGTCGTATCGTCGATGAATCATATATTCAGAACAGAATAGATTCCCCATAATAATGAAACGTACCTAAAATCATAGATAAAAAAAATCATGCCCGGATTTTGAGAAAGATATGTAATAGACGGTCTCATTATATTTTTGAAAATTTCATTTTCGCTTATCAAACAACGATGATAAATGGAAAAATTTGTTGCTGGGATGTAACTTACCTTCTTCTGTGTGGGCCCATTTAGCTTCACACAGTGCAGGCCATAATACTTGATCACCAGAGTGTTCTCAAATGCTCGTACGTGATTATAGTAGGCGTTAAGCATCCTTATGAGCACCTAAGCATAACATTAAAATCAGTGTTTATTGCAGGCTTACCGATGTATAGACCTATCAACGGATTGGATTCTGTCTGATGACAATTTGAATCCGACTAAAAAATTTCGACACCAAATAATTACGGGTTTTAGTTTATAATCATATGTTAAAAACTCAAACCCGATTTGATCCGAATAATGTAATTTATTGGATTTTAACGGTTCAAAATCCAAATATACGAAGTTGAATTCTGATCACGCTCAGTTCAAAATCTAATCTTTTGACAAACTTACTTATATGGATAGGGAAAAAAAAATGTCTTACTTTAACTTCTGCCTTCTTCATTGTCTTGATCATGTAACGGTCATCGTTGGTGAGATAAAAGAAGCTTCCACTTTTTCCAGGAGAGGAGAGTTCCCGGAGGGCATCGTTCCCGCAAATTGATAGCATGTAGTCAGCTGCATCCACCTTGAATAGCATTCTTAGTGTCCTGACCACACATTTTATGGTAGCTGATGATTAAACACTGCAACTTCTTTACATCACCATCATCATGCAGGTTTTACATAGTTAATAATGGTAATATATGCCTCATAATTTTGGCACGACCTGTAAATATGACATTAGATCGATACAAAATTTATAGGTTTAGCTTTACAGAGTTTATGTGATATTGTGATAAACACGTGGACCCACTAGAACCGATAAATAGCGCATCAATACGAATCAATCTAAACAAACATAAATACTATAGAACTCACCTACGAAAGGTTATAAATAAGTAAGTTAGGAGTTGAATGAATTTTAAACCAAAAAGACTTTAGACACAACAAGAACCTAAACAACATGACCTATTGTCACTCTTAATGTTGTTGGAATCTACTCATCTGACCTAATACCTTGACTTAATCATGTGCATGTCAATTAATATAGTTCAATAGTACCCTTCAACCCTTTGAGCGAAATGTGGCAAAAAGAAAGAAAATTCATGCACCGACCCCATCATCTCCACCCCGTGGGAACTACGATATCACCTCAAGGATGCTTTCAGCATCCGGGATTCATGGACCGACCATTTACTATTATTGGAGTTGTTTGAATTTTCTAAGGAGATCATGTCATTTAACATATCATTAAACCAAGATCTAGTTAAAGCCGATTATTAGGTCTCAATTGCCCTATTTAACAACCAAACTCATAATGTAACATTTTTATTATGGATCTTGCTTGCACCTAGGGGTGTTCACCCTACCTTAGGGGTAGAAAATATGTTTTTTCGTTTTCCTACCCGATACTTTGCGGAAGAGTTTTTTTTTTTGCCTACCCTACCCGACAGGTGTGGTATTCCTACCCGCCTTCCTACTCGATTAATTGGGTAGGAGGTTGGGTAAACATTTTTGTAACAATTAATTTTTGGATCATTTTAACAATTTAATTAAATAACATGCACCAATTTAATAACACAATAAATCAATTAACACTAAAATCTAAAACAACTACAACAAGAATTATAATAAAACACATAAAAGTATGAATATCAATCCACCATAATTGTTACACAAATATAATAACAATTAATTTAAGTTTAAACTTTAAACCATATGAAATAAATTAAAATCATAATTGCTCCGTTATGGTTTAGGGTTTTTTTTAATTTATATATATATATATATATATATTAAAAAATTATTGCGGGTAGGGTAGGGTAGGAATGTGGAAATGAATGATTATTCCGCATTTCTACCCGAAAATTGTCGAAAGACCAAAAACTCTTCTGCATTCCTACCCGATTTTTGCAGCTAGCTGTTCAATAGCGCAGGATAAGATCGGATTGAGTAGGAACTTGCGGCCGGTCGAAAATTTGAACGGCCCTACTTGCACCACTAAGCATTTCTAGCTATTTTGCTAGGAGACTTTAAGCTTTGGATTGGAGTGTTCTAAATGCAAATTGTTCCAAGATGACAAGTAATATATGATCATGATCAAATGAGAGGTGTTTTATGAGCAATATTCACCTGAAAACTTTAGGGCAATAATCCTTCCATCTAAATTCACAGGACTGGTGTGGTGGAGTGTATTTGGATCCCTCCGGTGGGAATCTTGTCCAGTATTTTTCTTTTGCGTCGAAATCTGAAGCCTTCAGATCCAGCGATGGAGGTGGACCTGGCCTTCCCACGGAATGCCTAAATAGCAAACAAAGAATTTGTCTCCGATGATCAGTTTCACAAAAAATAGAGATAAATTTGGTTACAATTCTTCTATCCTAAGCCCTAATATTGACGGAAGTACTGTGCACTATGCATCAACAAACTGCATTAAACGAACCGATGGAAGGACGCAATTGTATGCTGCCAAGTGTAACTAGCCATAAGTTTGGTATTTCATGCAGCCAAATTGCCAAAAGAAAATGCTTGAAAAAAATTTCCATCAGAATTTGAAATCACTGGCTTATATTTGCAGGTCCAATAAGCCCTTGTATTCCTATTTTTAACTACCAACTCATCTATAAACATAAGTCGTCAGAGAGAATACAATGTAAACGCTTATATAAATCACCACGCCCTCTCATGTAAGAGTCAGTTTTTTGGGTAAAACACAATAAAACTAGTGAAATTCAAACGTAAGACTTTCTGTTTTGATGTCATATTAAATCAACAGTTGATCTAAAAACTTAAGTTTTAACATAACTGTTATATTTTTCAACATCTAAATACGAGTCAGATAATATGTGCCAATGCCTTCCGAAATCTTGGCACTGCACAAAACCTGGCATCGGAAACTGAGAAACTGTGACAAATTGTAGCAATGCTCAAATGGTAGAAAAATTAGAAGGGTCTCAAAGCTACAAAATAGGAAACTAATTGATAAGTTAATGTTGAACCAAATCAGATTACATAAAACTGTAAAAGATGAGAAAATTAGATAGATGAGAAACTATCACAACTAGGTGATAAGCTCATACCTGATCCCCAATTGCAAATTGAGCATGAGCTCATAATTCTTATGCCCTTTAGAGATAGTCTCTCCTTGTCTCTTTATCACCTTTGGTATCCTAATTGGGCTTCCTCTTGTACTCACATCTCTGAGCTGCAAACCAGCCATGGCATCATCCACAAACTCTCTTCCTCCCATCAAATTCCTATCCAAAGGATCAGAACCACAAGGCCCTCCACCATCCAACATTCTCATTCTACTAAATTCCTTATCCACACCTCCATCTAACCTCCCGTCGACTGACATTCTCCGAGGCCTAACACTTGAATCCACAGCCTTAGAAGACCTCCAAACAGCAAGCTTCTTCTGAGATGGCAAAATTGATACTTTCTCACTAGGACAAACCTTACATTCCTTCAAGTCAATGTCATAAACCTCTTGACAATCCCATTGAAGGTCACCCTCTACCTCTATCAATGACCCAGATGGGTAATAAGTCCCATTTCTCTCTGTTGGGTCCTCACTCCAATTACCCACATAGAAACTCCCATCAGACTTCATAAATGTACCATTCCCTTTGGGTAACCCATCTTCCCATAGCCCATCATAAACATTCCCATTAGTCCAAACAAGCTTTCCTTTACCACATATGACTGCATTTTTCCATTCTCCAACATAGAAATTCCCGTTCTTCCATTGATATCTTCCCTGACCTTCTTGTACTCCTCTACACCACTCTCCATCATAACAATCTCCATTGGGAAATTCCTTAACACCATGACCATGTTTTAAATTCATGACCCATGAACCTCTGTACATTCCTCCTTCAGATGCAGTGAATGTACCTTCACCATCCATGTACCCACATTTGAAATCCCCATCATATGAAGCTCCATAAGGCCAACTAAATGTGCCTTTGCCATTGGTTTTGCCTTTGTCCCACTCTCCTACATACATACACCCATCTGTCCACCAATATTTCCCAAACCCATGTGGAAAATTATCGTACCAACTGCCTGTGTAATAGTCTCCATTGGAGAGAAATCTCTCTGCTTGGTATTTTTCTCCATTTCCATGGCTGTTGCAGACGGTTTCTTGGTCTTCAACGTCGTCTTCTCCGACGTGGGCTGCGTAGGTTGTTCCGAAAATGCTGTTAGCTCGCTTCTTCGCTGCGGCTTGTGTCTTGCGAACTGTTGCCTCCCATGCCTTCATGGCCCAAGCTGTGTTGTGTGCGATTCGGACAAGAAGTTTTGTCTTATTTTTTTGGTTTTTTTCTGCTTTTGCGTTCTACGTTGATCCAATCTCCATGCAGGCTTCACTTCAACTCTTTCTGCTAAAAAAGCCAACATGAATCAAACATTATCTGTTCAACCATGCATGCAACGCCATGTAACGATTGAAGATGACCCACTCTCTCTCTCTCTCTCTCTCTCTCTCTCTCTCTCTGGTCTATATTTTTCTGTTTAATTTTTGTCTCTTACAGGGTGCGGACAGAATGCAACCATGTAAGAAAGGGGAATACAAACGAATTTTTATCTGTTTTGAGGAAATTATCAAGCCCTGAGTATCTCTCTCTCTCTCTCTCTTGTTATCTAAATTTCTATTTTTAGCGTAGATTTTTGTGTTCTATCTTTCTACATTATCTCTTAGTTACAGGGTGAGCACAAATTGTCAATGCAACCATGTAAAAGAGGGGGACATTTGTTAATTGTGGGAAAGTCAACAGGGGCAGGAGGAATCTATCTGGATGTGCTTTTGCTGTGCAAATAATTTAATAAATTTCATTTGTATGCATGCAGTCAACTTGTGGCTAAAGGCAAATTGACAGCAACACCAGTTATTTTACACGAAGATCTTGGTCAAGAGACGGTATTCTCTCTCTCTCTCCCTCCCTCTGTGTGTGTGTGTGTGTGTGTTTGTGATACGCCGGGAGACTTGTTCATCCTCCTTTCAACCGCTAAAACCGCTAGGCTTAAGACCCCTGACATTTGGAGGGATGAGCGAGATTGAGGTACAAAATTTTCCATTAAAAGCAAGTTGCTCCCTAACAAGGGCTTAATGTCTAATTTTCAAACGTGTCATCTTTGTTGTAATTAATGGTTTCAATGAAATCACATATTTAAATTAATAAATTATATTAATTTTTAGATTTCAATAATATTACTAGCTCAATTCATAATTGAATAGTGACTTAACAAAGAGGAGAGAGAGAGATGGAGAGGCCTCTATTTGATTTATGTAAGAGAAAATAGAGTAATAATATTGTTTGTTAAGGAAAAATTTTACAATTTATATGCCTCATAAATAGTATTCAACACTTAGAATGAAAACCATGACAACTGACAATTCGACTATTCATAGGCTTCCTCACTTTTGACGAATTTGAAAAAGGAAAAACAATATATGGTGAACATCAATAACTTAGTAAAACAACTAGGGGCAGAGTTAAAATTTTTTTTTAGGAAGTTAATAAATTTATATTTATTAAAATTATATTTAATACTTTTTAAACATAGAAGATTAAAAATCAATATACATAACATGAACAAAAAAATAATAATTAAAATTTCTTATCGAGAATGCAACTAATTATTATTACTTACAATTGACTTTTATATGCTTTTATTATTTGAAAGAGTTACAAATTAATTTTATCAACAATATTTCTTTTATATACAAAATCGCGGTAACAATATTTTATTTATGATTCTATATTTTACTACATAATGACACACATTTTTATACAATAATGAAATAACCCTACAATTTTAAAAAATTATAAAACAACATCAATATGTTTAAAATACATTCGAACATGTTTAAAATATATCTAAAAGTTAACAATTCTATTAGTTGTACTTAATTTGAGATTTAATTGATGGAGACCCAATGTTTGTGACCATTGGATAGATAGTAGAGTTTATTAAATATTAATATTCACTATTATACTTAATATCGCAATGTATTAAGTCCTTAAATTAGGTTTCAATAATATTATTAAAAAAGTTAACAATCATTTAGGTATGGATCTATTTAAATCAATATCATTAGAACACAATATTATGGTGAACATAATTAAATATGTCTAAATTTTATTTCAAAAAATACATGATTTATATGAAAAAAAAAAATTGAGGAAGGGCATGTGCCCACCCAAGCCCAAGGGTGGCTCCGCCCTGAGAATAACTCAATTTTGGGCATGCGAGTTTGAAAATACATATTTTATCATGATTGGACAAAAGCAAATGAGCATTTGATCCATTTATATGGGAAACAACGTCGTTACATGTGAAACAATAATATTTAAGCAAAACGGTAATGTAAAAGAGATCACTCAGCGGCGGACAATCATCCCAATAGATCACTCAAGGTTCATACGAACATACAATCTAACATTTTGAAGGACTTGTACCCCAAGGAAGATATGCTCTATAGTGAAAGTTTAGTTTCTAAGTTCGAAGATCAACTGAGTCACCTAGACATTTGCAAGCTCAATGAATCCCTTTATGGTCTCAACCTGAAATGTAAATCCTTTGCCACTCAAATTTGTGTGCACTTACATTTACTTTAAAAATATCCTAGAGTTTCATTTAATATGAGCAATACAATCATTTTGAGTATTGTGCGAACCGCACTCAAAAACTCTAATTCGGGTCGAATCTTAAGTCAATATTCAAACAACCAATCATACATTTTAAAACATGCTACGTAATCATAAATAATGCATGAAATAATTTAAAATTAAATTTGAAAAGTTTCGCCTATTTTGGAATTGAGAAACTATACTTGACGTGGTGTATGATTCAAAATTTTCAAAAATAGAATAGTGTTATTTTTCTATAAAATTTCACACATATACACTAAATAACTACTTAAGAGTGAATGTAAAATTATTTTGGTCAAAATCTATCAAAAAATAGGTCAAATAGATCTCAGAGGGCAAAATAGATATTTTACATCTAAAATTGACCGGATTATTGGATTGAGATTAAATTTCATGGGGGACCTTTATATGGATGTTAGAGAACTTTTATGACGAACCAGAGGTTCATTGGACCTTATACGCGCCCACACTCACTGTCGGGGGTTGATTGGTAGGGTTGTCAAACGTGTTGGGTTAAACGATTATGTGTCAGATTAAATAGTTTATGGGAGAAAAAAATGTAAATTTTATTGGTTGTACAATTTCAGACCACTGATTTTTTTCTAAAATTTTAAACCTTCACTACCCACAAATTTAGAAAATTCGTCATTTTAATTTTTCTATCTTCCATTTTGTTAAAAACGTATGTTTTTGTGTTTTTAAGACTAGGTCCATGTCAACATATTTATATTTTTTTTTCTTTATCTGAATTTATAAAAAATAATAAAAAATTAGAACAATTTTAGAATTCTGAGATATTTTTTATTTCCATGTAGTGTTGTATATATATTCAATTTTTTTTTTGAATTATCCGTTTGTAGAGAAATATAAAAGTTTTATTTATTTGATCAAATATCAAGATTTGAATGACACAAAAAAATAAATTTTGGGATAATAAGAATTTTTTTTTGAAAAATTTAAATAAATATTTGAGTTTCCCTGTTAAAGTATTCTATACTATATTAATTTTTATTTTTGAGTCATAGTTGGAGGCACTCTTATGCCAACCAAATTCTTAATGTGGACCGCCAGATCATACTTATCATCACCCATATTTGTGCACATACCTGGCACTTTGAGAAGATCAAAGCCTTAAGTTTTAATGAAAAACAAAGGCAATATACATAAATGGATTTTACGCAGTTTAAGATTTCTCGTTATTCTTGAGTTCCCAATGTGCCACGTTTAGGTTTAGGGTTAATGAGTGGAAAGTTAGGGTTTCTACGTTTGAAGGCCTTACAATTTATGAACCAGTAGTTGGGTGTACTGGAATGAAATTGGAGTTTGATGGTAACGAATTGTAATTGGGCTAACTAAGGTAGTGTTTGGTAATTCTATGTTTTTGTTTTTATTTTATGGCCAAAAAAAAAAACATGTTTGGTGAATGTTTTTATTTTTATTTTTAATTGCTTTGTTTTGAAAACAAGGCTAAAATATGAAAACATCCAAAATGATATTTTTGAAAACATATAAAAAAATGCGCAAGTCTAAAAGGGATTTAAAGAGGTTTAAACTTCGATCCTCTTTAGTAACAAAAAATGAATTTTTTTGCTTGAGTATATCTCTTTCTCACCCCTCGTTGTTATCTCTTTGTCTTCTCTCTCTCTCGATGCCAAAAATGAAGAGAAAGCCGAAGCACAAAAATGAAGATGAAGCCGAAGCAGAAGGATCCAGACACCATCACCATCGAAGGATCCAAAAGCCATCGCCATCAAAGGATTCAGACGCCATTGCCATCGAAGGATCCAAACGCCGCCTCCCTCTTCTTTCTCTGTCGCTCTCTCTCTCTAAACCTTCTCTTTTTTGGTAATAGTAATAAATTTTAGAGAGTAGAGATGGGTTTCGATAGTGGTGGTGTGTTTTTGGGAATGGGGGTGGACTTGGGTGGTTGTGGATTTCAGGTGATGGGGGTGGGTTGGGTGGCTATGAGTTTCAGGGGATTGAGGTGGATTTCAGAAGGGGGTGGTGGTGGGGGTGGGTGGTGGTGGTTGTGGGTTTCAAAGATGGGGTTGAGTTGGGTGGCTATGTGTTTCGGGGGTGGTTGTGGATTTTAGGTGATGGGGGTGGGTTGGGTGGCTATGGGTTTCAGGGGATTGGGATGGATTTTAGGGGATGGTGCTGAGTTTTAGGTGATGGGGATGAGTTTTGGTGGTGGTGCTGGGGTTGGTGAATTTTAGGAGTTGTTGGGGAATGGAAAGGGGTTGTGGGGGTGGTTTTCGGTGGTGATGGGTGTTTGGTGGTGGTTGGTAGTGGTGTTGGGTGGTGAATTTTTGGTATAATACTAAAAATATTTTTTATTTTTGTTTTTATAATTTTTTAATTATAAATGATTATTAAATATATTTGATATTTTTAATCTTTATCATAAACAATAAAAATAAAAATAAAAACGTTACCAAACACACATTTATTAAACTTATAAGTTATCGACTAGGCCTCACATTTGAGTTTTTGATATGCAAGAATATAATGATATTGTCACTCCGACAATAATATTATAGTCTAATCAATTTATTTGACAAAAAATTAATGATTTTATAATATAATTAGTTGTTTAAATGAAATAGAGAAATACAAAAATAAATGACAGATTAAATTTTCAAAGATGAGTAGAATAGATTAATAATTTGATCTAATAAAATAAAAATTAATTATTTGATATCTAATTTATTATTTAATTTAATTGTACAAATAATTCATATATTTTTTTTATATTTAAATTTAAAAAGCATGTGTAATTTGTCCCTTTCTGTGAAAAAAACAAAACCTAAGCGACAGTGGGAGACCAAAAGCATTACAAACGAGGAACGGCAGTAGGGTTGGACTAGAGAGAGAGAGAGAGAGAGACCAAAAGCGTCACGAGCAAGGAACGACAGTCGTATCCGAGCAGATAACCTAAACTGTTATATTCGGCACGTCAGCTTCCTCCTTCCTCGAATGACCAAAAACCTTCGTCTTATCTTCATTATGCACTGTCTATATACCACAGCTTGCCCTACCTTTCCTTCTTTACCCATCCATATCCCGTGAAATCATAACTCTCTCTCTCTCACACACACACAGACTCACAGATTTGCATATCTACGCACTTTATCACCAAATTTTGGTACGCTTCGGTTTGGAAGTTGCAATGGCGGAGACAGAGAAAGAGGCGGTGTATTTCTTCGTAAACGGTGGTGACGAAGATAATGACTTAGAACTAGAATTGGATATAGAAGAGAATGGTTATCATGACTACGATGAAGATGCTTGTGATAAGTTTGATGATAGACTTTCACAGTCGTCGTCTTTCGCTTCTCAGAAATGGCCTCAGAGTGTCAGGTTCATAGCTTTCATTTACTGTATATACTCTTATACAATGCTAGCTTTTTCTTTTTCTGCATCTATTCTCTCCATATTTGGTTGCTGATGAAGTGTCATAAAGCGTCGATTTTTTGGGTATTTGGAGGGTCTCAGATTCGGGCACTAACGCCGTTGTTAGTTAGACCTTTATTACCCATGCAACGACACTGGTTGGTTACTAGAAATGAGAAGCAAAAGAGAGTACTTTAAAATGAAAACGACATCTCAGATGTGGGTTTATATCAACGCTACACACGTATACTGGTGTTTGGCTGTTCAAAGGAAATACAAAAGAAAGTTTAGAAATTAACTTGTTTGGCTGAAAAATGATTTTCGGTAACATACAATGATTCTCCAATGTTCATCTTGGTTTGAGTTATTAGTAGCCGGTAGTCATAAAAGTAATAAAATAAAGTGAAATAATATAATAATAAAATTTAAGTCTTCTCACGACGTGATTGAACAAAACACGGAGATGTGGTAAAAATTGATTTTCAGTATCATAGTTTAGCCCTTCGTTATGAAAGGACAAAATTGGTGAAGAAATAAGATATGTTAGCAACATAGAGCCAACTGTTATTATTAATTTGTTGCAAAATTAGTTATTAGTTATGAAGTATTTTAATTAGAGTTAGTTAGATTTAAGTGATGCTAGAATGACGGTGAATTTGTATATAAATACTTATTGTATTATTCTCCTAACGAGTTGAGTGAAATAAGATATTTCTTTCTCTCCAATCCTTTACTCTCTTCTTTCATTTCCTTCTCTGTTTACCATTGATTTTATCATGGTATCAGAGCAGATCAAGCTTCCTCTGTAAAGCTTTACTCTGCAAAGTTTACTCCTCATCAATGGCAGCAATAGCCAAAACATAGACAATTTCGAATTCTGCATCTTCTTCCTCAAGACAGATCGAAGATGCTTCTCATCCATTCTTTCTTCACCATGAAGACAGTCCTGGTGCATTACTGGTTACTCAACCATTAACAGGAGATAATTACAATTCCTGGAATCGATTCATACTTATGGCATTAAGTGCTAAAAACAAAGTAGGATTTATCGATGGAACTGCTTGTAAACCATCAGAGACAGATCCTCTCTTCAATCCTTGGATTCGCTGCAACAATATGGTGATTTCTTGGATCTTAAACACTATGTCGAATGACATTGCGAAGAGTGTTTTATATGTGAATTCAGCTAAGGAGATTTGGGATGATCTCAAAGAGAGATTCTCTCAAACAAATGGACCGCAGATCTTCCAATTGCAGAAATCGATCTCATCTCTGATGCAAGATTAGCTTACTATGAGTTCATATTATACTCAGCTTAAAGGCGATTGGAATGAGTTGATGAACTATCGACCTTTACCTACATGTTCTTGTGGAACTTTGAAGACTCTAATTGAGTATTAAGAACAAGACTACATCATTAAATTCCTAATGGGATTAAATGATTCATTCTCTCACATCAGAAGTCAGATACTACTCCAAGATCCATTGCCTTCTATCAATAAATTTTTTTTTCTAGTTCTTTAAGAAGAAAGGCAAAGAGATGTGTTCTCATCAATTCCTTCAAGTGTTGAATCTGCAGCTTTTCTTAAGTAAATCATTTTCTACACAATAAGGTGGAAATAAGCAGCAACAAGGTGGCAATAAGTAGATTTCCAACAAATCCAGGCCAACCTGTTCACATTGTGGTATTCTGGGGCACACTATTGATAAGTGCTACAAATTACATGGATATCCTCTAGGCTTTCGTTTCAACAAAGGCAAGAATAATCCAAGAGGGGCAAATCAAGTCAGTGGACATGTGGATAATGAGAATCCAATAGTTGAAGACAAATTCAAGGCAAAACCAGATGCTCAACTATCAATCACACATGATCAGATTCAGCAACTGTTAGCGCTTTTGAAACCTCAATCTAACACTGCTGGTCAGTCTTTTGCAAATCACATAAGGGGCTCTCATACTCATTCATTACTAAACATGACAAGTAATGCATTTTCATACTCCTTAACCATTCTTCAACATCCCTCTCTTTCCTTGCTCAACTCTTTTGATTCTGTAAATTCCATTCCTTGGATTGTAGATACAGGAACAACTGATCACATTGTGTGTTCAATTTCTCATCTTGATTCCATCACTTCCACATTTAAGTCATCAGTGAAACTACCTAATGGAAGTACTGTGTCAGTCAATCATGTTGGTACTGTCAAACTCTCTAAATCAATTGAGTTAACTAATGTACTTTGTGTTCCCTCTTTTAGTTTTAACCTCATTTCTGCAAGTAAACTCACACAACATTCTTCTTGTTGTTTCTTATTTTTCCTTGATTTTTGTTTCGTCCAAGACCTATCAACATGGAAAACGATTGGGATAGGTGAAAAGAGAAATGGTCTGTACATCTTTTTGCAGAAACCAAATAAGCAGTTTTCTTCCTCTGTCTCATCAGTTCACCACCAAACAGAAGTGTCTTTCAACTTATGGCATTTTAGACTTGGTCATTTGTCTTTACGAAGATTAGAACTATTGCATAAGGATTTTTCTGACATTACTACTTCTCAAGATAGTCATTGTAGTATATGTCACTATGCAAAGCAAAATAGAAATTCATTCCCTGCTAGTAATACTGTTTCAGTTGTTCTTTTTGAGCTCATACATTCTGATATTTGGGGTCCAGTTCCTATTTCATCCTTGGATGGTTCTCAATATTTTCTAACCATTGTGGATGATTTTTCCAAATGTACTTGGATTTATTTGATGAAATCCAAATCTGAGACTCGATCTTTGTTGGTTTCATTTCTTGCTTTGGTTGAGACTCAATTTCAGACTAAAGTAAAGATTGTAAGAACAGCCAATGGACTGAAATTTGCAATGAAATCTTTCTATTCCTCTCAAGGCATTGTACATCAACTTAGTTGTGTTGGAACACTCCAACAAAATGGAGTAGTAGAAAGGAAGCATCAACATCTCTTAAAAGTAGCTAGAGCTCTTAGATTTCAAGCTTAGCTACCTCCTTCTTTCTGGGGAGACTGTGTATTGACTGCTGCTTAATTGATCAATCGCATTCCAACCCCAAATCTTTCAGGAAAATCTCCATATGAAATTTTATTTTTTCGAAAACCCAATTATTCTCATCTCAAGGTTTTTGGTTGCCTTTGTTATGCTGCTACTCTTGCACATAACAGATCCAAATTTGACTCCAGGGCTAGTCAATGCATATTCATTGGATATCCCCCTGGTGTGAAGGGTTATAAAATGTATGACCTTACTACCAAGACTGTTTTCCTATCTCGAGATGTCATCTTCTATGAGTCCATTTTTCCTTTTTTCTTCTAACAACCTTCAATTCTCTCAAGATTCCACAGTGATACCTACTGCAGTTGTAGATACTTCTTTTGATAGTGTTTTCACTGAAACTCATAGTGTTCCCACTGAAACTTCTTCCTCCTCTGAAAATTCTTCTCTTTCTCCATCTCCTATTCCTCATACTACTAGACAGCTTACTAGAAATATAAGACCTCCTAGTTACTTGCAGGATTATCACTGTCAGCTTATCTCTTCACAGCCATCCAGTTTGTCTTCTGTGTCAAGTAAAGCACATGACATTTCTGATTTTCTATCTTATGATAAGTTTTCCAACTCACATCGTATTTTTAGTCTCACCATTTCATCTAACTATGAGCCTCAGTTTTTCCATGAAGCCATTCATCACACTGAATGGAGTGATGCTATGAAAGCTGAAATACAAGTCCTTGAGGCTAACAATACTTGGACCCTCACTTCATTGCCACCGGACAAAATTCCCATTGGCTGCAAATGGGTTTACAAAATCAAATACAAAGCTGATGGTACCATTGAAAGATACAAGGCTAGACTTGTGGCAAAGAGATACACTCAAAGAGAAGGCCTAGATTATCTTGAAACCTTCTTACCTGTTGCTAAAGCTACTACTATCAGGTATCTTCTGGCTATTGCAGCTGCTAGAAACTGGTACCTATTCCAGATGGATGTACATAATGCTTTTCTTCATGGTGATCTGTCTGAGGAAGTATACATGAGTCTTCCTCCTGGTTATGCCAAAACAAAGGATCATCAAGTATGTCGTTTGAATAAGTCCCTTTATGGGCTCAAACAAGCTTCAAGACAATGGTTCTCCAAACTTTCAGCAATCATACTTGGACATGGGTTTACTCAGTCCAAATTAGACTATTCTCTTTTTACTAAGAGTACTAATTTTTATTTTATAGCTATGCTGATTTATGTGGATGATATTATCATAGCTACAGATAACATTTTAGCTGTTGATGATCTTAAAATCTTTCTCCATAGTCAATTTCACAGTAAGGATCTTGGCATTTTGAAATACTTCTTAGGACTTGAAGTGGCAAGGTCCTCAAAAGGGATTTCTATATGTTAAAGAAAGTTTGCTTTGAAAATTTTGTAGGATTCTAGTTTTCTTGGTGCTCGTCCAACAAAGTCTCCCATGGAGCAACATTTGAAACTTAATAAAGATTCTGGCCCTGTGGTGGCAGAATCTTTTTCTTATCACAGATTAGTAGGCAGATTACTCTACTTAACTTTCACTAGACTAGACTTGTCCTATGCAGTTCAGATCTTGAGTCAATTCATGGATAATCCTAGACAATCACACTTAGATGCTGTTCATCGTGTGTTGCGTTATCTCAAATATACACCAGCACAAGGACTCTTCTTCCCCAACATTTCAGACCTGCATCTCAAAAGTTTTTGCGGTGTAGACTGGGCAGGTTGTTCAGACACCCGAAGATCCATCACTGGTTTTTGTGTTTTTCTTGGCCCTTCTCTAATCTCTTGGAAGTCCAAGAAACAAACAACTGTGTCTCATTCTTCTGCTGAAGTAGAGTACAGATCCATAGCCTCTACTTGCTGTGAATTAACTTGGTTACTTACTCTGCTAGCTGATTTCCAGATTTATCATCCTCAACCTGCTTTGATTTTGTGTGACAACAAGATTGCACTCCACATTGTAGCTAATCTTGTGTTCCATGAGCGTACCAAACACATTGAACTTGACTGTCACTTCATCCGAGATAAGGTTCAACAAAGGGTGGTCAAGACTCTTCATGTCTCCTCTGCTCATCAGCTCAGTGATGCATTCACTAAGCCACTTGGTATACAACAATTTCATCTTCTTCTCAGCAAGATAGGTGTGTTAAACATCCACTCTCCATCTTGAGGAGGCCTGAAGAAATAAGACATGTCAGCAACAGAGAGCCAGCTGTTACTGTTAGTTTGTTACAAAATTAATTATAAGTTATGAAGTATTTTATTTAGATTTAGTTAGATTTAAGTGATGCTAGAATGACGGTGAGTTTGTATATAAATACTTCTTGTAATATTCTCTTAACGAGTGAAATAAGACATTTCTTTCTCTCCAATCTTCTACTCTCTTCTTTCATTTCCTTTTCTGTTCACCACTAGTTTTATCAGCTGGTCCTACAAATTTAAATGTTGTGGGTTGGATCATGGACCAGTATCAACTTGGCTCTGAACCAAGTAAAGTTTGGTTATGGAACAAATTGGAATTTTGTGCCATTTAGACCCAACTTTACAAATGACAACACTGCATCAGATTAAAGCCAGTTTCTCTATTGCTTTTTTCTTTTCTTTTTGGGTTTTTTACTAATCCTCCTTGGAGGCAGACCACAACATGAATTTGTGTGGTCTATACATACTCACTCTCACTCCAGTTCTGGCTAGGCCAGACCAAACGGATAATGAGGCTGATTTGAGACATTGACATGATAGACAGTTAGGATAAGAGGGAAACTGAAGCATTTCATTTTTCTTTGTTATTTTACCTGTGTATTGATGGTTCATATTATTTAATATTATCATTAATCTTACATTAACATGCTTAAAAATTTTCCAATTGTTGATCTTGGGATCTTTGTTCCTTTAGTTATGCCATTGTCCAAGCAATCATACACCCAAATAGCACACTTAGTTACTGCAAAGGGCTTATTATGACGTGTCACCTAGGCTTCCCTAGGGAGGCATCTAATTGCCCCATGGTGACCATTGCCTAGTTCAAATTATGGCATTGTAGATTGTCTAACCAGGGAAGCCATGCCTGCCTTCCCTTATAACAAGCTTATTTTTTGTTTTTTTCTTTGTATGTGTGAGATGAGGAAAGGAATTGTTAACTTACGGATGTATTTGGAAAATTCTGTGGAATTTAAAGCTAAACATAGCAAATTGAATCCCAGGTTTATGCTATTGAGTGCCAGTGGGCAGTACTGAACTGCCAGAGATGAGTCATGTTGTTTAGAAGGTATTCTTTATCTTGTATTGTCACTGATTGAATCACAACTGAACATGAATGAAGCGGTTCTAAAATGTTAATAATTTCCCATCATACACAGGGTAACCTGTTTGAGATTGATAACTCAAGTTTTGCAACTCCTGATTGTATAGTTTTGCTCGTAAAAGGGAGCAATGGATGGGATCTGACACATGACCAATTTAAGTGCCTATATCTCTTTTTTTGCCTGTCAGGGAGACAACAGATATCTACACAATTGCTGCATCGCCAAGTTTTGGAGCCCTTGGGTCTGCACCAAGTACTAATTATCCAGTTTGTGATATTGGGACCCAAAGTAACTTGGATCTGGATGCGAAGACTCCATTGCTGCCCGACTATGAAAAAAAAAATCTACAAGATGACCTTGATTGGGTCTCAAGAACGCAGTCATCATGGTCAGAGAAAGCTTCATTCCATAGGCAATTCACTGGAGAGCTTCCCACTAGCCATGGATGTAGCTTTGCTCAAACCATATTCAATGGTAGGCAATGTCATTTTAATTGGCTGATACAAGATATTGACATTTTTCAATTATTTGTTTGGGATATGATATGGTTCAAAAAATGTGGATCAAGGAATTCATTTCTTGAAACTACCAGAGGTGTCTATATTAGGCTGATCATAGAGAAAAAAAGGTATTCACATTTGAATAAATCAGTTGTATTAGTAAATGAATATTGTATTCGTTTTCATTTTCTTTTTGTATCATGTTTCTGGTATGTATATCTTTTAGCCTGGCCTTTTGGAAAAGCAAAATAGAAGGAAATAAAACATTTCAAGTTTGGTCAGGAACCTCTCTCAGGAAAAAATATTTTAATAATGATATTTTGCTTTCCGTATTTTGACTGTAATCTTTACCCCTTTTCTCGTGTGTTTAAGAGTTGATATTGTTATGGACAGGAGTAAACGTAATAGCCGGAGTTGGGCTTCTTTCCACGCCTTATTCGGTGAAAGAAGCTGGCTGGGCAAGCTTGGTGGTGCTTGTTCTTTTTGCAATTGTGTGTTACTATACAGCTATTCTTATGAAATACTGTTTTGAGAGCAAGGAAGACATCTCAACCTTCGCAGATATGGGAGAAGCTGCTTTTGGAAAATATGGACGCATTTTCACATCTGTAAGTTGCTATAGGCTCAACCCCCAATATTCCTGTTATCTAATAATGACCGTGGGATAGTCTTAACTGTCTGATGTCTGGTAAGGTCGCTGACAACATATTACTGTTCAGATATCTTTTCTTCCACAATCTATGAAGCTGTAAATTAAGGTTTTATGCTATTTGGCCATTTCAATTATCATGATACTGTTGTGCTGTTGGATTTGGTGCAGATCATTTTGTATTCAGAACTATATGTGAGTGAAGCACTGTCCTGACTATGCCGATTGCTTGGACTGCATTTTAATTGTCAAGAAGATTCCTGACATACATTTTGAATGACTGCAGACATCTTGTGTGGAATTTATTATTTTGGAAGGGGATAATCTGACAACGCTATTCCCTGGAATATCCTTTGATTGGTTTGGTTTTCAACTTGACTCCATGCACTTCTTTGGAATTGTCACAGTCCTCATCACTCTACCAACTGTTTGTTTGAGGGATCTGCGATTGATCTCTTACCTTTCAGGTTATTCACAGTAGTTTTGTCAAGTGACCACATCGTGGTAATGTTCTATGAACTAGAAGGACTCGATATGCACTCCATCTTAAATTTTGTCTTCATCTTGCAGCTGGTGGGGTCATTGCCACCATTGTCGTAGTTCTTTGTCTTGTTGTTCTTGGTACAGTAGATGGAATTGGATTTCATCAAACTGCTCCAGTGGTGAACTGGAAGGGCATTCCTTTTGCGATTGGTGTGTATGGGTATTGCTATTCAGGGCATTGTGTGTTCCCAAATATTTACCAATCAATGGCAGATAAAACTAAATTCACTAAGGCATTGGCAATATGGTACAGAACCTTCACAGTCATATAGCATAAATATTTTGGCAATAAGGTGTGAACTATTATACCTTAAAATTGTTTTTATCTCAAATGCTTTTAACTTTCTTGTTGTGCAGTTTTGTTTTGTGCGTCATAATATACGGGGCCGCTGCGATCATGGGATTCCTCATGTTTGGTCAAGGCACATTGTCCCAGATAACCTTAAATATGCCAGCACATGCAGTTGCTTCCAAAGTTGCATTGTGGACTACAGTAAGTGTCACATTATGGATCCCTCTTCGGATTCATGTATATGATGTGCTTGTGGGTGCATTTTTTTTGTTCTTCTGTTCTAGAATTGATTGGTTATATGCTGACCATCCAGGCGATGCTTTATTCACTTTTCATTCTATGTTCAGGTTGTGATTTTGTTTTTCATGTTTGTTTTTATGCAGGTTATTAATCCGCTCACCAAATATCCTTTTTTGGCTATATATTATGAAAGTTATGGGGTTCAATAGTTTCATAGTTCTGTTATATCGTCCCATAATTTTTCTGTTTGCTTCCTTAACAGTTCATAAATATGCCTTGTTGATGAACCCGTTGGCCAGAAGTATAGAGGAACTACTGCCTATTCGCTTTTCTAATAGTTTGTGGTGTTTCATTCTTCTGAGGATAGCACTTGTCATATCTTCCCTTTGTGTTGCATTTCTTGTTCCGTTTTTTGGTAAGTCATGTGGTACTCATTACTGCTTCCTGTTGAGGTTATTTCTCCAAATAAGTAAGTTACAATAAACCCATTATCTGAAAACTTATTCCATTATCGTCTTAAATTTTATTTTTCTTATTCCTCATGTACTGCTTTAAGCTGATCTTTATGCATATTTTGGAATAAACCATTGATAATTGGAAGATGTTCTATAAATTGTTGTTTCACTCTTTGGCCAGTGTCCACCTTTAAATGATTTTCTGGCAAAACTTTAGTCCAGTTATATTTGCAGCCAGTAGTGTTCCATTGTACCTGATGCCAAACTTTCCTTGTGATGATTGAATCATTAAAGTAGCAATTGAGAAAATTATTTGTGCTTTGAATTTTGACTCTACGGATGTGCAATCAGTGTTACTTATGATTAATGAATCATTAATTAGCAATTGACAAACTGTTCGTCGCTACAAAACAAAAGATTAGAAATTATCGGACTTGAGACCATTTTCAAAGACTGGTAAAGCAGATATTCAGATAGTTACTAATTTTTCCTAAAGTTTTATTCTAGGCAATCTTTCTTGGAGAATTGACATGTTAAGAGTTAACAACAACTTGAAAATTCTTTTTTGTGTACTTTTGAAAAATCAAAACCTCTGATGTCGGGAGTTATATGGAAGGTAAAGTCATTTTGTGATGACTGCAGGACCTTCAAGCTAAATTGTCTTTAAGTTCCATTATATAATGGCATTTAGAAGGAGAAAACAGAAAAGAGGTTTACTGTTTGCACACATGGGGAATGAGAAGTAATATATGTATAACATCAACTGGTGTGAACCCTGAGCATATTTACAAGCATATGGATGATAGCACATATATGCTATTAAAGGTGCAGAAAAATCCATCTCGTGTCTTACACCCACCCTAAGTTTATGATGGATAACTGATATTTGTCAAATTAAAATGATAATCTACGAAGGGTACGATATTTAAAGCAGAAATCGATCAACTGATGCATTTGGCAAGATGGGGTTGCAAATGTTAGGTTCAAAATGACAATCTCTATAAGCTTGGTCATCATACCTAACCTAGGCCATACCCAATGTATGAATCTGCCAGCTACAACTTAGTCTGGGAGAGGCAAGTGGTAGACAGCCTTACCCTCATTTTGGAGAGGTTCCTACTTGAACTCACGACTTATTACTTGGGTGGACTTGCCATTGCTCCTAGTCTGTTCTGTAATCTCTATATGATTGGTCCTCTCATTAAGTATTGGCTTGGGGCTATTTATAATTCTTGGTTTGCACAGTAAAAGTGGTAACAGTTAAAATTGATGTCAGCAAGAGAGTTTAGTCTAATTATTCTTAGTGCAGCTAAGCACTATGCTGATGCAGCACTGAATCTGGATACATCGTCTTGTTTCTTAGTCTTTCAAATATTCGTCGATGAAAAAGTTCCTTTTAGGGCTTTCTCAATTTAAGTTGAGTCGCATAGCTGATCTAACACAATTGTGATCTTGCGCATTGGTGTGCTAGTTGAGCTTGGTGGATTGATGGTTGTGGAATTTTTACTAATGTATCACATACATGGTTAAGCATAAACAGGCACTTAAATGTGCTAAAATATTGATGTTTGAGGAGTGAATTCTCAATCCACACGAGCACACTAAACACATAATGAAGATCATTCCAACTTCTGCAATTGTGTATTTAATCGGATGAATCAAACTTCGAATAACAGACTTCAATATTTAGTTTTAACGAGGGTGTGAACCATTAAATGTGCAATGGGCCTATTCCCCAGTTTGCTCCAGTGATTTTCTTCTCTTTTTATCCTTTTTTGGTAAAGTTTTGGGAGTGGTTACTGGTTTCAGAATTTAAAGGCTTAGTTGGACGTGCACACAAAATTGAATCTTACCAATTCTGAACTTCTTGTCACCGTCATGTGGCTTCACTATTTTTCAAGGGTCACAAACCCAAGTGAGTTGAGCATCATTGTTAGAATCAAGTAAGGACCCATAGGTTAGTAAGGACCTCTATAGTTGAAATCTCAATGGCTTTAGTAGCCATGGGACAATATTTCATGCAAGTTTTTTGAAAAGAATATCTAGCTCCTCGTGCTTCTAGATTAGACTTCGAGTTCAATGATTTGGGCAGTAAGGACTTTTAAGATTTTGTTGAATTCAGTCTGGCCATGGGGTTAGCTACCAATGTTGACACTTTGTAGGGATGACCGGATGAGTCGTGCTGATGTAATAATGACATTAGTTTATCCATCAGCTCATGATCTAGTTAACACACTTAAACATGTTGATGTTTGAGGAGTAATGTTTTTGGGCAAGTGTACTTAAGGCAGCGTTCAAAGTCCTAAGTATAGCATTTCTGTTCCTCTCTACGTTAAACACACAACACGCATAATGAAGATATAACAGTGAATATATATATATATATATATAAGATATCATTTTAGACGTTTCAGTATGCCATGGACCTACTCCCTGGAAATTCCTTAAACTGATCATAAGTTCTCAGGAGATATTAGCATCATACAAAGGTTCTATGATCACATTTTCTCTTGTTTATTGAAAAACTTTGAGTTATACTCAATCCTGTGATACTTCACTTCCCCAATGATTCGGACACTGAGAGAACTCAACTCTGTCTTTTGCTTTTTGTAGGTCTTATGATGGCTTTAATTGGTTCTCTTTTTAGTGTACTTATGGTAAGCATGCACCTCTCCTGTATTAAATTTATGTTTGTGCTCTTACTGCAAAAATTGCACATGGTGTTAATATAGATGTAGAACATGGCTTTCATGCTTTCCTTCTTCGACTTCATCATCCAATGAGTCATTGAAAAGTCAAAATCAAGTTCCTCAATGCGTGTCTTTTGATAGGCAGAATAATATCACGAAGTTCTTAGTTACGTATTTGATTATGAGTTCCCATCCCAAAAGCTACAAGATTATTTTTGTTGTTGTTAGAGATGCTGCATAAAGCATGTACACTCTACCTAGCAGTGCAACGTGCTTCCCTGGATTAATAATTTTTCTGATTTATGGTTGCCCCTCTTATTGGCTACTTCATTAATGCTGCCCCTTGTTTGAATAGCAAAAGACAGGCATTTTATGTTTTCTCATTAAATTCTGCTTCTGAAGTCACTACTGGTGTACGTATACATGTTCAAAGCATATATTTTGTTGATAATTTTATCCAGGTAAGCCTGTCCATCATGATGGTGAATCAAACTTTCCCTGAATCTTGCAACTTGTGAAACCTAGATAATTTCTTAACAATAAGTAAAATAATGTGCTTTAAGCTTTAGGTCATTCTAGAAACCAAGCACTGGAGAAAAAATATTTTGTTGACAACCTGAAATTTCTCTTGTTGAAATGTGCATATTGAACATGTGGGAAAAACAGAGATCTCTCATGTTGAAAAATGCATATAATGGATGGATGTCACATAGGTATTGGCTGTCTGATTGTTGCAATATGAAAATGAGCCAAGTTACTGTCCATGCAGCTGAATCAAATGCAAGAACCTTAGGACCTACATGAATGGAACCAAGTCTAAGTAGAGTCCATTGATGTACAACTATAGGGTAAATTATATAACACTATCTCCCCTAGTTGTACCCTTTGGAGGGGCTATATGGCCCAAGGACAATAGTTAATTTTCGAATACCCAAGAGGCTATATAGCAGCTCAATGAACTGAGGATAAGGTTTTTTTGAATCTGAAGTCCCACAGTCCAACTTACCTCCTTTGACCTAGATTAGACAAATTCTACTTCGCTCAAACATCCAGTGTGTTTGTATTTAAATTTCGGTTGGCTGAGTGTGTAATTTTAAGTAGAACATTTGCCTTTTTAACCAATGATAGACTGATGGATTTGAGAGTATTCTTAACCATATTAAATATTGCTCTCCCTCTTAGTAAATAGGACTTGTGGAGAACAATGATCATACAACTATTCCTTGTGACTGGTGATGTATCAGCGACAGAGATGAACTAACAAAGAAGAGGCCTCAAAACTCTTGTGAGTAAAATAATGTAGGTTTGAAGCCCTAATGCACGAGCAACCCATTATTTCTACCACCATGACCCCCTTCTATTCCCCTTCTGCCACAGAAAGGTAAAGTTTTACAAAACCGAAGGAATGTTATAACTAGACATAAGATCAAACATATGTGGTCCATAAAAGTTCAAAAAGTACATAAGAAAGTAGTGGGAGGGGAATCTTAAGCTTATAATGGATGAGCGTAAGTAAATGGGGTATTACTTTGATTAGTGATAATGTCCTATGTGTGACTAAAGATTCTTTTTAAGCATGTGCCACTGAATGGAACACTAGATGTTCCACAATGAAGTGAAGAGACCTATTCTTCTAGTTAGTCCTGAATGTTGTCCTTCCGTTTGATGTGACTGTTGAGTATGATGCACTGGAAACAAAGTACTGTTAAGAAAATAAAGATTTGGAAAATATAAATAGCTCTAACCATCACTTCGGACTCCAAGAATGATTCATTCTTGCATCTACAGAACAAAACTACACTAAGGAAGAGGGTACCATTGGACATTTTCTAGCATTATCAAAGTCCTTTTTCCTTCAAATCAGTGATATATTAGCACAGAGAGAGCAACACTAAGGAAAAACAAGAATCAACCACCTGGACATGTAGCCAAATGCTACAACAGAAACAAGAAATGCTGCATGGGAGTATGTATCCAGTATACACCCCAAGGTGGAAAACATTCAAAGGCACTCGATTGTCGATACCGAGTGTCACTGCCTGGTAAGCTCCACCATTTATGTCACTAAACTTCATAATAAGATAACGTCTTATGAGCTATCTACCCATCCAATCAGGACACTGCAACTTCAGCTGCTGTCCCATCTGCCAATTATACTTACTACACACATCAGCATCTTTTCACTAAACAGAGGCATTTTTTCTCTAATGCAAAAGTATGTCTCCTTTTTAAGTGAGCATACACCTTATCACTCATTTCTAGATGTCTATATTCCTTTCCTTCTAACCATGATCCACTGTGGTTGATAGCTTGTTGATTTTCTTCATGAGAGTTTTGCCTTTTCACTTATTTGCAGATGAGCAGCACATTGGACTACACCTCCTTGTTCTTTTGAGGTTGCTCTTTTGTTTTTCAGGAGCTCTTCTTTTTTTTCCCGTGTCTATCGCGGCCAAAGAGGACATCCTCAAGGTGTCCTTGCCTTTTTTTTTTACAATATACGACTTACTGCCTCTTGGAATACAACCCAAATGATTTGATTCATGTTGTATACAATCACATTACCACTGATAACGATCATCAGGGGTTGAACTATTAACATTCAATTTGAGCATGATTACCCCTCAATAACTAACAATTTCTCTTGTTAGAAGTGAGATGCAATACTAACACTCTTATCTAGTTGTATTCAATAATCATTCCCATCATGCTGTATTTTCCCTTGAGCAATGTGCGACTTGTGGGATTGAGGACCGAAATAATTATCTGACTCCTATTTGGATGCATTTCTAAATTCTAATTCTAGAAATCTAAACCATCTTGGTATGATATACAGTCCTCCCCCCTGTAAGTTTAAGTATTGATACTAGGCTCTGCAGTAACCCAAGAGGGATTGCGGGACGTTTTGTAAAGGCCCTTAACCAAATTTCTTGTACTTGCTGAGAAGTAAAGGTTGGGATGTTGTCCTGTAAACTCGTGTGCCTGCTTTTTATTTGATATATTGTTTCTGTGAGCCTCTTGTGTGAGTTTGGCAGGGACTGAATGTGGATCTCAGCGCCATCACAAGGAAAAAATTCCTGCGACAGTTAGCATAACTAGGAGTGGAATGTGGAACATAACACATGGATTGTACAAGTTGCTACTACACCCCTATGTTGTTTTAAAATGGCTCAGACCAGCTTCTCTGATATTTTTTGAAAATCATGTTATCAAAAAGAAAGACATTTGTCAAAGAATTTCAGCCATCGTGCTAATTAAACTCCTAATTTGTATGTAAGAGCATATGGATCTCCATGTTGATTTGTAGACTGTTTTCCTTAAATAAGAAAAATGGAAATGATTGACCTACATAGACGAGATAAGGGAAAATAAAATATTTTCTTTTCTGAGAAATTAAAATTACAAAGCTAAGCGACTTGTGCTCCTTTGAAATCTATGTACACAAGCTTTAGCAACATCTGTTGACGTAGGTTCTTTCACTTGTTTCTGTTTTCCCTTCCCATCTCTTCTCTTCTATTCCTTTGCTTTAAGGATAGTTATGTAGGATTCTATGTCAACTGAAATATACTTATACATGATGATGCATGTGGCTGTGGTTCAGGCAGTTATAATCCCGGCCTCATGTTTTCTGAAGATTCTGGGAAAGAAAGCAACGACAATGCAGGTACATAGATTATAACAAGTAGATATGAGTAAATGGTTAGCTTTTGGCCTTGATACGTGTTTACACAAGTATTTGTAAACCGTGACCAATCAGTAAGTTACCGCCTTAATTAGGTCCTCGAGTCCAATTCCGTGACTCTTGTTACGCAGCGTTTTATGTTCTTTATATCACTTACATTGAGAAATGTCCAACCACTGTGAATATGAATTTTCCATATTTTCTCCTTTACTGATTAAATGGGGCTGCTGCTGCCCTTCATATATATATATATATATATATATAGTTGAATATGTTGGCATCTCTCTACCTTTATTTTATTTTCATTTCAAACTTTCAGGTTGTTCTGAGTATTGCAATTGTTGTGTTGGGCATAGTCAGTGCTGTCTTGGGAACGTACTCTTCGGTGTCAGAGATTTTGAAGCAGTACTAAATTACTCGAATGCTTAGCCAGCCTGCCAGCAGATTGTTATTTAGTTGTTGTCCCACAACCTTCAACAATTTGTATTACCAACTTCATTGACGACCTTTTTGGATGTTAAATATCGTTCATCAGTTTGAGAAACTTTGTTGAATTTTTTTTTTTTTGTAATGTAGGATTAATTACAATGACATCCCATGTAGAATGCCTTAGATATAGTGGATCACCCCTAGATTGTCTGAAACTACGCAGACATCCTTGGCAATTTTGTCTTGTCTTGTAACCGAGAAGTGCTATTTTACAAAATTGTCACTGGGAGATTTATTTTTTTCTTATTTGTACTCGACGCATGTAATAAAATTGTTTACTTATTTTTAACATTAATCTAACTTTATTCCACTGTATGCATTATGGAATGAAAAGCATCGAAGATGTTTCAATTATCATGGTGACCACCTCCCGGTAAGGCTGAGATTAAGGAGTATAACGGAGATTGAAGACTCATTTCATCGTTTTATTTGTACAATCATTCTTACACTTTTTTAGGTTAATAATCAAGTGCCAAATATCTTCAACAAACTTATTTATTATACTACCGTCCTTTTGATTGTGAAACACGCCTTAAAAAAAAAAAATCTTTTTTAATGAGTAATATAGTTAATCTCTCTTGTGATGTAGTTGACCTTAAATAATATTTTATTAAACAAACAAACACAATCAAATAATTCATAGGTAAAATATATAATACAACTTTTAAATTAACAAAAATTATCCAAAGTTATAGAGAATGGACATGTTACATGAGAGAGAGGAGGGGGAGGGGGAGAGGGAGAGAGAGAGGTAAAATTACACATATCATCATACTCGACAGCTACTATATTTTATGGTTATTTATTTCGACAATATAATTTAAATTTTAAAGAGAAAAAGTGACTCAAACTGTTTTAATGTAAATAAAATTTTGATTTGCTGGATAACAATAACCTAACATAAAAAATTGTTAAAAAATGAGTTCTAAAATTTGTTTCCCCACCTAAAATTTTTTTCATTTTACTTACCCCAACTCACGAGTAAATATTGGGTGTAATCATCCAATAAAAAATAACAAAAATGATAAAATAAAACCTATTTTCTATTACAGATGTGGTTATGCATTATATGACTGGGTGGTTGAGTCTTAATTGCCTCATATGCTGACTTGTTTATTTATTAGTAGAGGTTACACCACTTGACACTGCATCCAATATTTTTGTCTCACATATCTTCTCCCTATCTTCGAAAATCTACTTTTCAAATTCAATTCTCTCTCTCTCTCTCACACACACACACACATCTTCTCCCCTTTTCCCAAGATCTACTTTCTAAATTAAAACCTTAGGCCCTATTTTCACTAATTCCTCTATTATTTTTTATGACATAGTAGATCTTAAGTAGGATTTTATTAATTGTAATTTTTTTTACTAATATTTTTTTATGTTCTTTAATTTTTTTTTGTATGTTTTACATCCAAGATAGTTGTGTTGCATGTTTAACTCTTATGAATATTTTTATAATTATTATTTTATTATCTTCTAATTCTTCAGAATCCATTAATTGTTTATTTACAAGACCTTAACCTATTTTTTTTATGACGTTTTGTTTGCTAGTAGGAATAAAAATATTATTTTGATATTCAATTGTTTTTAAATTTTCTCTTTTTTTTAGAATGAATTTTCATATCTAGATCATTATTTTCTAGTTGCCATATTTATAATACATAGTTAAAAATTAATTCTAAATAATCATATTATTTCTATGATTAAAAAATATAACATGAGCTTAAAATAAAAAAAAAATATAAAACGATAAAGTTTGATTTGTCACTATTAAAATTTGATCTTTTAATTTTTCTCCTTATCAAAGTTTTCAAACTTAAGTGAGTTATACTATGTGGGTTTGATTTGTCATTTTTTGCCCTTGTTTTTGAAACAGAGTTTTAAGAAAAACATCACAATTATATTTTTATTTTAAATTTTTAATAAAAATTAAAAAAAAAAAATATTTTCTTTTTCGCCACTTGTTTGTTTAATCTTTAATGCAACCACTTGACGGGACGTCAGAGTTGGCCCAACAGTATAGGAATTAGGCCCCACTCGCGAAAGAAGTCCTCCAAATTTCATAGGCCTTAAAGTAAAGTATGATCTAAATAAAAAATTTTGATAATAAAAATAAGTCCTAAAAAGTCCTAACCAACTAAAAAAAATGCTAAACTTGGGCCTAAGAGTCCAACTCATTAGCCACACAATAATATTTGAAATTAAAACAAATATGCTTACTTGGAAAAAAAAAAATCTATAAGTTCCATTCAAATTAAACATATCCCTCTTTCAAAATGTACAATTAAAATTAATTTCTCTATCTTATTTTAAACCAACCAAACTTATATTTCATGAATAGCTGACAATTTGTAGAGAAAAAAATTAATAAAAATATCGATGACGAGATAACAGAATGTACTAAGTGATCTTAAGTTAAAAAATTTTGTGATTTTTCATTAATTTGAAAATATAATATGAAAACTTTTCAAATGTTTCTCTACTGTAGTTGGTCTAGATTAGTTTTTAGACTTAAATATTTTAACAAAAATTTTATAAACGAGAGAAAACATTCTATTATTTTAATGTAACTTGATTGATTTTAATGGCTTAAAATAGAATTTTTGACCAATTTTTGCTTTATAAATTGACCTACAGGTATCCATCTAGTATGTGTACTTGGCTCTGGGGGCTGGTGCTGCCGCTTTTTCCGGTAACTGCATTAGGCTTTTTATGTTTTATCATTAGGCTTTTCCTGTCTACTACTATACAGATTTATATTTTTGAATGAGGTAGGGTTAGATGATAGCTTAACGCTATAACTAACATACAAAAGATAGATTCGACTCGAAACCACCCACCCATCTTTGCTTCTTGGTAGAGGTGGTTTGCTGGATGGTCACAGGGGAGAGGCAGGCTGGAAGGATTAGAAGTTTGTACTTAAAAGCTATACTGAGACAAGACACTGCATTTTTTTGATAAGGACACCAACACAGGAGAAATTATCGAGAGGATGTCAAACGACAGACGCCATAGGTGAAAAGGTATTGTCTGCTATTATTGACACATAAGCCCATTACTTGATTCATATTGGAGTTTAATTAGACTGACACTTCCATCACTGACCCAAAAAATAGGTTGGAAAATTTATTCAGCTGGCATCTACATTTTTGGGAGGGTATATCATAGCTTTTGTGAAGGGGTGGCAACTTACCCTTGTCTTGTTGTCTTCCATTCCTCCTCTTGTCATCTCTGCTGCTGCCATGTCCATCGTTATGGCCAAGACAATATCCCATGGACAGACTGCTTATTCACAAGCAGCAACTGTGGTTGAACAGACAATTGGCTCAATCAGAACTGTAAGAACCACTGGCCAAGGGAAAAAGAAAAGTTTTCACTTTGCATTGCCACTTCCCTTTTGTTTTTCGGAATTTTGTTAATGACCCTTGACTTGCAATTCAGATTGCATCATTTACAGGGGAGATGGAAGCTATTACTAAATATGACAAGTCCCTCAATAAAGCTTACAAATCAGGGGTGCGAGAGGGCTTGGCTGCTGGATTGGGTTATGGCGTATTCATCTGTGTTATTTTCTGCAGTTATGCTTTGGCTGTATGGTATGGCGTGATAATGATAGTACACAAGGAATATACAGGAGGACAAATAGTTAATGTAATTATTGCCGTGTTGATTGGTTCCTTGTGAGTTGCATTCTCCATTCTTAGTAGTTTTATTTATCCTCTTCTAACATGGTGATTCACAATGTTGAAAACTCACCAAAACGAACAAAAATAACATGTTTGCATTTGTAGTACAAATTTTATATTGGATGTCTTGCAAAGAATTCAAGACATTTGCAACAATTTTGGACTTTTTTTTTTTGCAGTTCTTTGGGGCAGGCATCTTCATGCCTGAGGGCATTTGCTGCTGGACGAGTTGCTGGTTTTAAATTGATTCAGATAATCAATAGGAAGCCAGAAATAGATCCTTATGACACCACTGGAAGAAAATTGGACGATTTTCATGGTGACATTGAACTAAAAGATGTTGGTTTTAGTTATCCAGCAAGACCTGATGAGCAAATATTTAATGGATTCTCGCTCTTAGTACCAAGTGGAAAAACTGCAGCCTTGGTTGGACAGAGTGGAAGTGGGAAATCAACGATGATTAACCTAATAGAGAGGTTTTATGATCCACAAGCTGGCGAAGTCCTTCTAGATGGTATAAATATTAAAGGGTTTCATCTTAGGTGGATCAGAGGCAAAATTGGCCTCGTTAGCCAGGAACCCGTGAATATCGCCTATGGGAAGGATGGTGCAACAGTTGAAGAAATACGAGCTGCTGCAGACCTTGCCAATGCCGCCAAGTTCATAGATAAACTGCCTCAGGTCAAATATCAAATCTGCATGAAAAGCTCTTTCTGCTTTGTATTCATAGATGACGTTAAAATCACAACTCTTTATGAATGGCTTGGTGAACATATCTAAACCTTATTCCAATGAAGTCCATCCCTGCCTCACTCTCCTCATTTCCCATTATCCCTGAGCATGAAGTTCATTCTATTAGCCCAATATTAGATTGTTATCAAAAAAGATAGGAGTACATTGACTTACATGTTTCCATTTTCCCTTCCACTTTATTCCCCTATTTTTCTTCTTCTTCTTCATATAACTTTCCCAATTGAGTTAACCATTCTCTTACCTTTCCAGCGTCTTGCCAATGTGTGTAGGGACTGGACACAATGGTGGGCGAACATGGGACTCAGCTGTAAACTGAGAGCATTGTACAAGAGGCCTTGGACAGACTTATGATCAACAGAACAACTGTCATTGTGGCACATCGCTTGAGTACAATAAAGAATGCTGATGAGATTGTCTTCATTCATCAAGGAAAAATTATTGAAAAAGGTTTTTCCCCCTTCAGATACTAGCTTATTTACTTTCGATCACTAGTTGTAGCATATGCTGTTCCAATTCATGGATTAATAAATGGCATTCATAGTTGATGGTAGAATGAGCGATGATATTTAGACTTAATTTATTGACCTAATTTGGTGATCTAATCACTCATTGCCTTTAGACTGATAGTGAGTCCTAGTATTCTTAGGACCTACTACCAATCCAATTGTTTTTATGAATTAAGTCACTAAATTAGGTTAGCAAATTAGGTACAAATAGTGTTATTGAGGTCAAATATTGCAAAATAGGTAAGTTTCATCTTGCTTGGAATGGACATGGCTGATTATATTACTTTTCAAGTAATCAGGTTCACATAGTGAGTTACTACAAGATCCTGAAGGGGCATATTCCCAGCTTATAAGGTTGCAAGTACTCAACAAAGAATCAGAACAACTTGCTATAGATGATGATGACAGATCACAGGTCACTTTGGATTCTACAAGACATCCCATCGCAGTCAATTTCGTGAAAACATCGCTTGCAGAATCTACGTCTTTAGGCATAGCACCATCACAAATGGCCCCAGAAATCCCACTTTGCCGCTTGGCCTACTTTACCAAGCCAGAGATCCCAATTTTACTATTAGGTTCTATAGCTGCCATGGTCAGTGGTGTAATACTGCCAATTTATGCAGTCATTTTTTCCAGCATAATCAAGACCTTCTATGAACCAGCTCATAAGCTTCGGAAGGATTCAGATTTCTGGGCATCAATGTGTGTAGTTCTTGGTGTGGTATCCTCACTGGCGACCCCATTAAGAACTTACTTTTTTGCTGTGGCTGGATGTAAATTGATAAAGCGGATGCGATTAATGTGTTTTGAGACACTAGTTCACATGGAGATAGGCTGGTTTGACAAAACTGAGAACTCAGTTGGTGCAATCACTGCGAGGCTTTCTGCAGATGCAACATCTGTGCGGAGTTTGACTGGGGACACACTTGCTTTGCTCGTTCACAATTCTACAACTGCTATTGCTGGCTTAGTTATTAGTTTCCAAGCAAGCTGGCAATTGGCTCCTATAATTCTTGTCATGCTACCTCTACTAGGAATGAGTAGATTTTTTCACACGAAGTTCTTAAGTGGGTTTAGTGAGGAAGCAGAGGTTAGCTCCAAACCTTTTCTCATGAAAAAGAACCAAAAAAAAAAAAAAAAAAGGAAAAGTGAGAGAAAATAGGAGATTATTGCATCAAACCACTAAACATTTTCCAATTGTGAATGACAGACCCCGAACAAAGTCCCACGTACTTTGCCTTTAAAGTATATTTTCAAGCATATAGAGGATAATTTGGTGTTGTAGTGGCTTAAGATACGACCAATGTTTCTAGTCCCTATTGATCATTGGTAATTCTTTTCTTGCTTACAGAAACTGTACGAGGAGGCAAGTCAAGTTGCTAGTGATGCAGTGAGGAGTATTAGAGCAGTTGCTTCTTTTTGTGTAGAGGAGAAGGTACTGCAACTATACCACAAGAAATCTGTAGGCCCAGTGACAGAAGGAATAAAACAGGGGTTAGTTAGCGGTGTAGCTTTTGGGTTGTCTATGTTGTTGTTATTTTTGGTGTACGCTGCCAGTTTTTACGCTGGAGCTCGACTTGTTGACGATGGCAAGACAACTTTTCATGATGTTTTCCAGGTGAGTTTTCTACAGCTATGTCACACCCCAAACCTGACCTCCTTAGGTTAGCAAACTAAATTATCACCAATATTCTCAAATACAGAGGGCTAAAAATTTTAATAATTGATTAATCTCTCAAACTTAAAATTACAAATGACGTCAAATATAACGTATTTCCTCAGTAAATAATTACAATCTCTAAAAAGTTTCTTGGTTTTTGGTGTCCATTTTTAAATGTTGTAGGTTTTCCTTGGTCTCAGCATGACTGCGACTGGAATTTCTTAATCAAGTTCTCTTGCCCCTGACACCAATAAAGCCAAGAGTGGAGCTGCTTCAGTCTTCTGTCTTCTTGACCAGAAATCAAAAATAGACTCTTCTGACGACTCAGGAGCAACACTAGATAATTTGAAGGGAGATATTGAGTTTCGACATGTCAGCTTTAGGTATCCCGCTAGACCTGATGTTCAAATATTCAATGATCTCTTCTTGGAAATCTGCTCTGGCAAGGTAATCTCTTAAATGTAGTTTCCCAAATGCATTCTCCTATCTACTTAGATGACATTCTGATGGTCACATTCCTTTCAAAGGTTTAAACTCATTTTTTCAGACGGTTGCTCCGGTTGGAGAAAGTGGGAGTGGAAAATCAACCGTGATCTCTTTGTTGCAAAGATTTTATGACCCTGATTCAGGTCACATCACACTCGATGGAGTCGATATTCAAAAGCTCAAGTTGAAATGGTTAAGGCAGCAGATGGGTCTGGTGAACCAAGAGCCTGTCTTATTCAATGACATGATCCGTGCGAACATTGCATATAGAAAGGAAGGCAATGCAACAGAGGCAGAAATTTTGGCTGCAGCAGAGTTGGCAAATGCTCACAAGTTTATCAGTGGTTTACAACAGGTTTAAAACTAAAATCCTATTGTTATGGACCACTTCTGAAAATTGTCAACTGTTACAACATAGATTATGAATAGTAGAATTAAGTCATTAGACTAACGCTTTAATGTACAATCAAAGGCAATATCCAAATATCTTCTTTGTTATTTTATTATTTTTCCTTAATTTTCAAAAATGCAGGGGTATGATACCACAACAGGTGATCAGGGGATCCAATTGTTAGCAGTGTTTAATAATGGAGTCATTGTAGAAAAAGGAAGGCATGAAACTTTGATCAATATCAAGGGTGGTATTTATGCCTCCTTGGTAGCGCTAAACACTAGTGGTGTCTCGTAGAGAACAACCATTTTCCCTAGATCAAAACGTTGGATTGGCGCTCCTGTTCTGCTATTTCTTGTTGATTTCTGCCTCTCTTTTTTTCTCACTTGCAATCTCGGCCCGTATATGTTGCAGAGGAACAAGAAGATCCGAATGCATTGAAAGGAAATGGACTAGTAATATTGTATTTTTTAATAGTACCTTTGTAATGTACTAGCATCGTTTAACTCGATCCTTGTAAGTTATATAGATATCATCCTGCTGTTGAAGTTGTAGAGAACACTGAAAAAGTTATAAATGGGAAATTTTAAAAAATGGAAAGACACTGCTATGTGATGGGAAAGTACACACTACTAAGTGTCATTACAAGAAATTGTAGTTTTAGCTGCCGCAATTGTTGTAGCTAAAAGCTAAAAGTAAAAAAATTGTCACTATATACTTTAGTGACAACTTTTTTTATTGTAACTAGTCTTGATAATATGTGTCTGTGGCTTTTAGCTATAACATTTGCAAAATTGTCACTTGCCACTAAAAATCAATTTTTTAGCCACAAATTAAAAAAGGTGATTAAATGTTGAAAATTTAGCTCCAAAAATTACTACAACTAATTAAAATAATTTTGCCACCGTAACTCAACAAGTTGCCACTCAATGTATTTAATGACTAAATAAAACCAAACATATAGTGACAACATTTAGTCGCGAGTAAAAGTAAACACCTTTAGTGGCAATTTATAATCGTTGTTAAAAGTTTCGAATGAATTAGTCATTAATTTTTATTGGATTTTTTCCCATTCCATATTCCAATACCTACTTTTCATACACTATTAATGAGAATATTTCTTTTATGTAAAAATATTGATTTGATGCTTTGAAGTTATGCTTTAATTGACAACAAAAATGTCATGATCCCTCAGTTTTTGAGACGTAATACACCACGCGTTGCTAGTCTGCAAATAAAATAATTGAAAAATGAGTGAATTAATTTCCAAAAACCATAACTACATTGCTTTACATGAGTGTGTGCAATATATTATACATGCAAGCAAAGTAAGTTAAAATATATCCGTTCTTCTATATTAAGCTATTCAAAGGTCATTTTAGGATACCATTTTTCCATCATCATAATCTAAATCAAACAGGCCTTTAAATAATATAAATCAAATTAAGAAAGTAACTAGCATGTCATTGTGCTTTGCAACAAGACCAGAACACTCCACTAATCATCAATTACCAACAATAATAGTAAAAATTGATTTGAATAAAGTTCTTTAAATAACAAACAAAAGTTGAAGGTCAATGACATATATACTCCACATCAAGCTTCCTTAGATAAAACATCTGCCTAATAAAAGTCAATCGTACTGAACTGTTCTATCAATTCACCAGAACAGGAGTAATGGACCAACAGGACATACTGACATCTCACATGAAATTAGTTGTGCCAATTCAAGGAAGATGTGAACTTCATAAGAATATCATGAACTTCATAGGTTTCCTAATTTTAAAGACAAACAAATATTTATCCAGCGACACAGAAAATTAAAATTAAGTAAAAAATGAATAACTCATTTAATAAATGAATTTTATCTAAAAAAATAAGGTTGGATTAGACCCACACCTGAGCCCAAGCCTATCTAAGTCATCTCCCATCCACAAAAGTTGGGTGCACCTTGGGGCCTAACTCTTAGAACAAACTTGGAGTCTATATTCTTAAGATTTCGTACCCAACCAATATGACATTTTTGTTAAATCTCACATGTACCAAAATCTATTTTCAATTTTCAAGTGGGTCACTATTGTTCAAAAAATTCTGTTGCGATCGACATAAATGCCTCAATCGACAAATAGTTTTTCGACGATTGCTTGTGGTTAGATTCTACTGCCTTGTTTTCAAGACTTCTTTGGATGAAATTCAATAACAAAACACACAAAATACTGAACTAACATGGATATATGTCTTTATTAATTCAATCAAGTGGGTTTCAGTTATAGAGTGAATGATTGAACAACCTTTAATTGCAACACTAACTATTTCATAAAACTAACCCTAATACTACTCCTAAATGCCCTAATCGTGGGTCTTGTGGGGAATTTGAGTTGTTTTTTTGTCTTCCTCTTTTCCTCTTTTTATAGCCACTTCTTTCAACGATTTCTCCCTCATTGACGGTTAGTTGATTTTGTAACTCCCAGATAGTTATTTCCTCCTTCAAACCAGAATTGTGACCGGTCACTTCCTACCTTTTCTTCAGACCTTGACACGTGGTAATCCTTTAATGATTTTAAACTTGCCAACAACACATGCATCGAATGCTCTCACTTTTTTTGGGGAGGGGGAGGGGGGCATCGAATGCTCTCACAATTTGGCATTTTATGTCCAAATAATACTCCCTCATTTAATTGAGTTTTACTCTAATTAAACTCAAGTAAATGAGTAGTCATCACTGTTGTCTTCTTTAAATATATGTTTAAAAGCTTTTTGCGGTTGAACTGCTCACAAAATGTCCCTTGTTTTCTTTCCTTTTTTTCTTCAAAAAACCCCTAGCGATTTTTTCTCTTTTCCTCTCGTCGATGCTTAATGGCTCCCAAAAAACAAAATCCTTCATTTTCAACTGCCTCTAAGATTCCTTTCCACCCAAGACTTACATATGAATCGATGGCTAATTGGTGCTGCTGCATGCTTTTGGTCTCATTCATGCAACGCCATGCTTCTTCCCGTAGGCATGATATCCCCAACGATTCTAAATGTTGTCTTTTTAACGAGGCTTCTATTGACAAGTGTAGAGATGAATGCTTGGCTTTCCATTGATTCTGGTCGTGATTTCTTTACTATCCCTTTTAGCATGGAGTATAATGATCTCATCAATCATTTATTCGCTTCTCAATCCCCCACCTCTTCATTTGCAGAGCAAGCTACTTTTCTTCTTCATTAGTTGTGTCGATTTGTTTTATGAGTCCCTAGGTTCAAAGTGACACGAGAGTACGTTGGTATAGCAATCCAATTGGCTAGAAACAAAAAACTTGCCTTAGCCCTTTTTTGTCTTAGATGCATTGTATAGGGGCTTCTTTAACCTTACTGAGAATATGATCACTGCTAGTTGTGGGGGTCATTTTTGGCTTCTCTAGGCTTGCCTTTCTCTGATAAGGTTCAGGATATCAATAATAAATTTTTAGTGGACTGACTTATTAATAATGGGTTGTAGGATGTCTGAGTTGAACATAGGAATCCTAAGCCCATTGGAAGCCCGATTCTTATTTCTCCTTAAGGTTTCCGTCGTAGCCTATATATAGACGTTTAGGCTCTCAAATTCAGCATCTATTATTTACTCACATTTCTTAGAGAGGCT